CCGTCTCCTTATTGACGTCTTCAGGAGCGACACACAGATCTAGTTTATGGCTTTCTGTTTCATCTCTTGTATATCAAATAGAAAGAAAGAGGGTTGATATCACACCGAATCTGTCTCCAGAAGCCCAGCGCCATATGTTGGATTGGCCATCATAAGAACTGCCTTTAGAAACTTGTGTAAGGAATTGCTCAGAATCTTGTATACCAATTATGTCAGACCAATCCTGGAGTATGCAGCTCCAGCCTGGAAATCTATATCTATTTAAACACAAGACAAAGTTAGAGAAGATTCAGAGGTATGCCACCAAACTAGTCCCTGAACTGAGAGGTATGAGCTACGAGGAAAGGCTACAGGAGCTAAACTTCATGTCCCTGGAAGACAGAAGAGTAAGGGAAGAATGATAACCACCTACAAAAAAGGATCTCCGTTCCTTTCTCACACACATTGTTCATAGGGGCTGTCGTTGACTTCCAGCTGTTTCCTCCATGCCCCTGCTGCACAATCTTTCCTTTCTTCGAGGATACATCTATCCTTCTTGTAGGACCCGTCCTAGTCTCTCTCTTATGAGGCTTCATGGGGCATAGATAGGAACCGGCATTGTGGCTGCCTCGACAGTTGCAACAAAATGGGACGATTTTTTCACTTCTTTCAATCTTGACTGTACACTCTCGCGAGTCGTGTTTTTTACCACAATACCGACACCTGGGGTCAAACAGGCATTTCCATGCCATATGTCCCCAACGTGAACACTTCATGCATAATATGGGCTCCTCAGTGTATTTTGCAACTTTCCTATAGCCTAGTCCTTGCACAAAAATTCTTTCCCGCGCCTCACCCTTTACCAAGGCAACAACCTGGCTTTGTTTGTCACCATGAACACTGTTCCTCTTCGCCCAGACAACTCTATCATTGTTGAGAAGAAGACAATCAGGATCCAAATAAGTTGGATACTTAAAAACTATGATCTTTGTGTGCACCATACCTTCTTCCGGAGTAACCATCACAATGTTCTCAAAGCCAACCGTCGTTAGGCGTTCCACGGCTTTTTCTGTCCCAACTGTTATGTAGGGCCGGTGAAGACCCTCCTTGAAGAGTGGTTCATATTCCATATACTCCTTAGCCAGACGAACCGTCCACTCCAGCTTTTGGTGGAAGTTCAGTTGGCATGTTGTAGGGAACAACAGCCTCTTCCTTCTGTTAAATTGCTTCTCTTGAGTCCTGCTGAGTAGGGTCTCATTTTTTGGTCTCTTTGTTATTTCATCCTCACCCTCGATCACTGCCTCGCTGTCTGTGAATATTTCGCCGTTTATTTCTGCTCATTACTACTTCAAACGGCCTGTTATTATCTTGTCTGCCCTCCTCACTATCACTTAAGGATACCGACTCAGCCATTTCCTCGACACTAAAAGGCACTGTCAACAATCGAGAACAAATTCACAATATCCAGCTGTAGCAGCCACGTGCAAAACGAAGATTGTGGGGCAATACTCCACCTCCCACCAAGCAGCGGACGCCAAGAGCGCCAACACCGCGACCACACACAACCGCGGTCCAGTCACGATCCGTATCCTGATTGATTGATTGATTGATTGATAAAGATTAAGCCACCCAAGAGAGGGTACGGGCATGAATAGCCCGTAAGTGGTGGCCCTTTTGAGCCATTACCAGTATCTAGAGCTGATACTGGAGATCTGTGGAGGTGCAACTGCACCCCTGCGTGACGGGCGATGTCTCCTCCGTGAGTTATTATTCAATGAAGAATATGAAGATGAAGCCACCCAAAAGGTGGCACGGGCATGAATAGCCCGTAAGTGGTGGCCCTTTTGAGCCATCACCAGTATCAATAGATGATACTGGAGATCTATGGAGGTGCGACTGCACCCTGCGTGACGGGAGATGTCTCCCGGACCAAATGGTGACCAAATGGTGCCGTATCCTGATCCCTTCCGAGTGCTATATAGTCGTTATGGCTTGGCGCTTTCACTTGATAGTTCCCTCACCCCCCCCCCCCCCGGTCGCCGGTCGGCCGAGCGAACAGCACACTGGACTTGTGATCCTGTGGTCCCGGGTTCAATCCCGGGCGCCGGCGAGAAACAATGGGCAGAGTTTCTTTCACCCTATGCCCCTGTTACCTAGCAATAAAATAGGTACCTGGGTGTTAGTCAGCTGTCACAGGCTGCTTCCTGGGGGTAGAGGCCTGGTCGAGGACCGGGCCGCGGGGACACTAAAAGCCCCAAAATCATCTCAAGATAACAAGACATCTCAAGATAACCCCCCTCCTGATTAATATTACGAGAGCAGTATTTACTGGCTATTCATGCCCGTGCCACCTCTTGGGTGGTACTACGGGCTCACCATAGTCCGTGCTACTCGGAACGTTTTGTTCCAAGTAGCGAATCTTAAACAACAACAACAACATCTTGGGTGGCTTAATCTTCATCAATCGAGAGCAGTACGTCCTAACCAGACGTTATATGATGATATCTTGAACAGTTGATAAATAAAAGTAATTGCGGAACTCCAGTTATCTAATACTTATCATAAATAAATAAATAAATAAATAAATGTTTATTTAGGTAAGGTACATACATACAAGAGATTTTACAAAGAATGATGGATTTATAAATAGAGCTAGTACATACAATGCCTAAAGCCACTATTACGCAGAGCGTTTCGGGCATGAAAAACTTAAATGACTAAAGCTTAATACTAATTAAGTATATATACTTAATACTAAGTATATACTTAAGTATATACTAAGTATATACTTAATATATATAGTATATTATATACTAAGTATATACAGGCGATGAGTCACTTAGTATATACTAAGTATATACTTAATACTAAATAAAACCTTATCATAAGCTACGGGATTTGTAGATCAGTGTTTAAAGGGATTTCGGAAGTAATAATAATACAGCTAATGCCATCTGTCGGCAGACGAGAACACTATCAACTGGCTGGTCAACAGTGGCCATAAGATACAGCTTACGCCATCTGTTGACATCAAATTACACCTATAACAAATTACCCTACAAAATACAACTAACGCCATCTAGTTTTTTTCCAACGCACTATAAATAGCCAAACAGCAACCCATAAGGCGGGTTGTTGTGCTCGGGTAGGAGGTTCCAAGCTCCGCCCACAGATGGTATGGAGTGCATAATAAATGGCATATCATTGGTAGAAACTCTTTGTTGACATTCACACAACAGCCAATCACAGGAAGGGATCAGCTAAAGGCTCCAGCCACGTAATAAATCATCTTTATTCAGCACACCATCCTTGCTTATGATATTTTGTTTCAACTTTAATCGAGCTAAAAATTGATGGGTTAAGTATTTATAAGCATTAATATAGTGATAATTAAATACTGCAGGATGTAACGAGTGTTACAGAAACATGGGCTGGCTACCTAACTTGTGACGACATCAGTGGGGGTTGCCTCACGCAAATAATATCGATGATACAATGCTCCGTTCTCTTATTGAACTCGATTATTCAGTTAGATGGAAATTTCTGTCTTGTATGTAACGAAGAGGTTGTGTTTGAAATAAAGAGATTGGTTTGTAAAAAGACTTATTTCTTAGTTTGCATATAATTTATAGAAAGAGTGTTGCCATTCCCAGCAACAGCCAATCACATGAAGGTATTTGTTAAAAGTCCGTCTCCTTATTGACGTCTTCAGGAGCGACACACAGATCTAGTTTATGGCTTTCTGTTTCATCTCTTGTATATCAAATAGAAAGAAAGAGGGTTGATATATCACACCGAATCTGTCTCCAGAAGCCCAGCGCCATATGTTGGATTGGCCATCATAAGAACTGCCTTTAGAAACTTGTGTAAGGAATTGCTCAGAATCTTGTATACCAATTATGTCAGACCAATCCTGGAGTATGCAGCTCCAGCCTGGAAATCTATATCTATTTAAACACAAGACAAAGTTAGAGAAGATTCAGAGGTATGCCACCAAACTAGTCCCTGAACTGAGAGGTATGAGCTACGAGGAAAGGCTACAGGAGCTAAACTTCATGTCCCTGGAAGACAGAAGAGTAAGGGAAGAATGATAACCACCTACAAAATTCTCGGAAATTGACAAGGCAGACAAAGATAAACTATTTAGTATAGGGTGGAACACGATCAAGGCGACACAGGTGTAAACTTGGTACCCAAATGAGTTACAGAGACATTAGAATTAGTTTTTCATTGCCAGAGTAGTTAACAGATGGAATGCATTAGGCAGTGATGTGGTGGAGGCAGACTCCATACACAGTTTCAAATGTAGATATGATAGAGCCCAATAGGCTCCAGAATCTGTACACTTGATTGACAGTCTAGAGGTGGGACCAAAGAGCCAAAGCTCAACCCCCACCAGCACAACTAGGTGAGTACATAAGCTTCTTAATAATAATAATAATAAAAACTGCGTTACGGGACTGCAAATAGTTTTATCTGGCATGGTGATTATTCCCTTACAATGTTTCTCTTCTCTTTACCAGTTACCGTTTTGTAATTAAAAAATTTTATACACACATAATAAGATTATTGTATATAATAGAACACGAAACAACGGATATAAATTGGATAAGTTTAGATTTAAGAAAGACTTGGATAAATACTGGTTTGTAAACAGGGTTGTGGATTTGTGGTATCAATTACCGGGGAAAATAATAAACGTAGGCTCTCTTGATTGTTTCAAGCGTAGGTTAGACATATATAATTCACTCATATATAATAATTCAAACTCATATGAATGAATTGGGGTGAATAATTGGGTGAAACTGAATTGGATGAATTTGGGTGAAACATTTGGATTTTAATTTTAATTTTAATATAATTAGGAGCTGCTATGAATGGGCCAATTAGCCGTCTACAGTTTACTTGATTCTTATGTTCTTATATTATGGACTTCGTTTTTAAAGTGAAGAATTGATCTTGATGATACAGCAACCAAGGGTTAGCGGGCTCCCTAAGCGCCCCAAGCAGTGTGACCGCGGGATAAGCGACCACTACCAGGAGATGCAGCTCGTGTCGGTCCTGGAGGATCGCTGAGTCCCGTCGCTGCTCTTCATGCCAATAACTATAACTATAAGCTCGTGTAGGACAAACTTGCGGCATCACAAAGCAAAAAGGAAACTGCGCAAGCTACACGCATTATAAAGAAGACTGAAGCCGAGTATTATCGTGCAATGGAGTCCTCTCGCTTCACAAGGTAGGGATATAGGGGTTTCCTTGCGATAGGGGGGAGGTACCGTACTGTCAAATCGTACACAGATGTTTCAACAATTATCATGTTATAATTATAACATTGTATATAGTTAGGCTAGGCTATGCTAACTTAGCAGTTTTTTTCAATTCGTTGGTGAACCATCTTTGATAGGCTGTGACTTACATCTAACTTTAGCGACTTAGCCTTTGTAATACCCACTGTCCTATGCTTACAAAACAAGTCACAACCAAAAGGCTTAACAATCCCTGGCTTACAAAGGGAATACTTAAATCTATTAATAAAAAACATGACCTTGAGAAGAAGTATAGGTTAGGAATTGTCCCCAAAGAATTCTCAAAGAATTACTCATTATTGCTGTCTAAGATAATTAGACGAGCCAAAACTAAATACTACGAAGATAAATTTACCCAAATAAAGAGCAACATTAAACAAACTTGGAGAACAATTTCTCAAATATTGGGATCAAAGAAGTCTTTTAAATAACAAACCGACTCTCCTGTCTAATAACGATGGTCAGCTTTCAGCCTCTGATTCTGCTACTGAGTTCAATAGGTTCTTCTCTTCCATTGGTTCATCTCTTGCAAATGATATTCCATCTTCCAGTACAGACATTAATGACTATCTTTCAGGTAACTATCCACAGTCTCTGTACCTAAAGCCTATTAATTCCACTGACGTCAATGAGATAATCCTTTCCCTTAAAACCAAGTCTGGTGCCCTTGAGGAGATACCAACTTTAATTTACAAAAAAGCCTCCAGATCTTTAGCCCCTGCTATTGCTTTGCTCTTCAACAAGTCACTTGAACTCCAAACCTTCCCAGATATTCTAAAAAAAGCGAGAGTAACGCCTGTCCACAAATGTGGTAATTTCACAGATGTTAACAACTACAGACCTATATCTATCCTGCCAAACTTGTCAAAAATTTTTGAAAAACTAATCTATAAGCAGCTTTACTCATATCTAGCCAAACTCAATATACTTAGCCCTTGCCAATATGGCTTCAGACCCAAAAAAAGCACTAACGATGCACTTATTAGTATGCTTAACTCGATTCATACAGCTCTTGATAAAAATGAGTTCTCTGTTGGGTTGTTTGTGGACCTGCGTAAAGCTTTTGACACTGTCAACCACCAAAACCTTCTTCTTAAATTACATCATTATGGAGTCAGAGGACACTCCCTACAATACCTCAAATCCTACCTTACTGACAGGCTCCAATATGTTTCTGTGAATAATACAATTTCTCCCACCCTACCCATCAACATTGGTGTTCCCCAGGGCAGCATACTTGGCCCTCTCCTCTTTCTCATCTACATTAATGACCTTCCAAATGCCTCCCAACACCTCAAACCAATTCTATTTGCTGACGACACAACCTTCATTTACTCCAGTCCTGATCCCCTTGCTCTAAATGCCACAGTAAATACTGAGCTAAATAAAGTCCATCTGTGGCTAACTGCCAACAAACTCACCCTTAACATTGACAAAACCTTTTATATTCTGTTTGACAATAAATCCTCTAATCAAATAAATCTCAAAATAAACAATACCCAAATTTGTAACAAATTAGATGGCAAATTCCTTGGCATTCTCATTGACCACAAGCTTAATTTCCAGGGACACATTCTAAACATATCAAAAAAAGTTTCAAAAACTGTGGGCATTCTTTCTAAGATCAGATATTATGTACCACGCCCTGCCCTGGTGACTCTATTACTCCCTTATCTATCCATATCTCAACTATGGTATTTGTGCTTGGGGCTCTACTACCCAAAATCACTTACGTCCTCTAATTACTCAACACAAAGCTGCTATTAGGACAATATCCAATTCTGGCCCCAGACATCACTCGGTACCCCTACTTAAATCTCTGAATATGTTAGACATTAAGTCACTGCACATTCTCTCATGTGTATTATACATATATAAAACGCTAAACTATAATGCCAATCCTGATCTCAAAAGCTTCATAGAAGGTTGTATCAGAACCCATGAGCATCACACCAGAAATAAATACAGTTTTGATATTCCTAGAGTACGACTTAATCAAACTAGAAATGCTCTACAAATCAAGGGGCCCAGAATATGGAATGACCTTCCCAACCATGTTAAAGACTGTACCTCTCTCAACCAGTTTAAGTTAAAAGCGAAGCTATACCTAATAAATTCCCTGTAACCTACCTTACCCTTCTATTGTCAACCAATGTCTGTTTTTTTCTTTAAAGAGCGCTGTTTGTCGACATAATTGTATTTGTGCTGCTTTTTCATCTATGTTTTCATTTCTTGTTTTCATTCTACTCATTATGCTCAATTAGTATTAAGCTTGTCATTTAAGTTTATCATGCCCGAAACGCTTTGCGTAATAGTGGCTTTAGGCATTGTATGTACTAGCTATACTTATAAGTTAAACAATCCTTGTAAATATTTATTGTATGTATGTACCTTACCTAAATAAAATTGTATTGTATTGTATTGTATTGTATTGTATTGTATAATAACATCCCCCAATACTGAGTGTATTTGTGTTGTCATCAGCAGGCTGGGTCTCGGAGGCCTCTTGTCAAAGACAGGTGTCTCGGTGTCTATAGCTAGTAGGTTATTTTAAGTATAAGCACGATGGTTCACGTCATGATTTCACTATATTCAAGACCTGTATGAACTAAGCATATACTGTACTAATATTACTTCAGAGATTAATAGGTTGATGAAGCAGATGAAATTTCTAATAAACTGCCTAATAGAGTGCAAGAGTGTAAAGCAGAAGGATATCCAGCAAGAAAGCTGGAGGGTGGAGGATAAACAGGAAGCCAAGACCACAGCAAAGGATAACAAACTAATCATCAAAGAAGGTGGTAGAAATGACAAACCACTCCTCTGTGTTAAAAGAAGAGAACTTGAGTGGAACCCTTTCTTTGTACTCTGGAAAGAGAATTTAAGAAGACTTCCAGTAGGCAGGGCAGTGAGGTGTCTCGACACAGAAGGTTGGATAATCTTGGTTATTGGTGATATGTACACAAATGAGGTGTGTGGTTCTGTGCTTGGATTTGGGTTGTTTGTCTTGGGGAAGGTGCCCATGGCCATTTGGAATTGTCGTTTTGTTTTGCCTAATCTTTATGGTGGAGTTTCCTTGTTTTATGTAGATCTCTGATACTGAGTTACTGTTGCCGCATAGAGAGAGCAAGATTCTAGTCTTGGCTCCTAGTGGGTGTCTGTCTCAGAGGTCTGCTTCACTTTTTAAAGCTTAATTACAACAGGATATAAGCAATTGAAAGTTACTGAGGGTCCTCCAGTGAAAGGACATTTTATAACATTTATCACTTAATTTTAATCCTAGTGGTTTCTCTTAAATATTTGAATTGTACCTGGAGTGAGTTCTGGGAGTTCTTCTACTCCCTAAGTTCAGCCTGGGGCCAGGCATGACTTGTAATAACTTGATCTAACCAGCTGTTATTTTGAGTGTCCCAAATTAATAATTAAGGAAAAATGGTCTTGATAATTTTCAGAATATTGTACTGTCTAATAGACTAATATACACACAGTACAGTACTATATTTTATTTTTCAGTGGCCAGGCTTTACTTGATGCACGCAGTCGTGATCAGACCTTATCCCTGGTGGGAGAGAAGCTGACAGAAGCCAGTGGGTCAGATTTTGAAAATAATCAGATTGTTTCTCGACTCTCTGATCATCACACGTTGCTAGGCGAGCCAAAGTTTACCAGAAAGTAAGGACTTGATTCAACTTCATTAAGATGATTTTAATCTTTTTCACTTGTGAATGAGTATTTCATTATCTGAGATAATCATAAATTAGCAAGATAATGTTTACTTTGGTAATACGATATATTCAACACTCAGTTTTTAGTGTATGGTACAGTACATATACTGTATGCATTTGTTACTGCAAAATATTAACAAATGTGTAAAAATGTTATGGTTAACTGTAGTAGTTTATTGGTTTCAAGTTTTAAAAACATTATAATTACAGTATCATTAAAAACTATTTTATAAATATAATTTGGGAAGCTTACAATTAAAAGAAACTCGTGTAACAGAGACCAGCTGGCCAGTGGGGAATGGTTAGCAGAGTCCAGAATGGTACGAGTTGTACATGAAACAGGCAAATTTTGGCAATATATGGGAGCAGAGACTGACATTGGCAAGTGCCTCTACCCTGAAGAAGCATTGTACCTAATGGATACAGTAAGTGATTATTCCAAAGCTTTATGTTCTCAACCATGATTGGAACGAGTGGTGTGTTTATTCTAAATATTCTGTAGAATGCTTTTTCTCATGATCTTTACTTAATTTTACACTAAAGTTTTGTCAGGGTCGTTCTTGATGCACAATTGAGAATTCTGGGTTCGAATCCCAGGCAGGACAGAAATGATTGGGCACATTTCCTTTCACCTAATGCCTCTGTTCACCTAGCAGTGAGTAGGTACTCGGGCGTTAGTCAACTTGTCGTGGGGTTGAATCCTGGATGGGGTCAGTAATTTGGCCTTGGCGGGGGGGACCTCGATAAAAGCCAAACATGTATGAATACACTCTGGCTTCCTGTCCCCTGACACAAATTATGATTATGATTATTATTATTATTATTATTATTATTATTATTTTGTTTTATAATATCTCATATTAGGAATATGTATGATGTATAATTAATTTGACTCCTGTTAGGCAACAGAAGTAATAGAATGAACTGAACATATATAATATATATACTGTACTGTATATTGTAGCTAATGTATCAGAAATAATAGTAACAAGAGGATAATAATTTAATAAAGGGTACATTTTTGAGGAAAGAGGAATAAGTGTTAACATTATACCTATAGTCATTGAAGGGATTATAAACTTTTGTTTTCCCATCCAAATAATGAACAAGATAATCATTAATAAAAAAAGACAGTGTTAAACAGCTTCTGAACTAGAGCTGACCCGACCACCATCTTGAAAATGTAAACAAACTTTTTATGCAAAAAGAAAAAAAAAATGGGTTGGCCAGCAAGGAGCTAGAAGGATCACTCTCCCTGAGTATAACTCCAAACTGGACAACACCTGCAGCAACAGTAGAGGAAAAGGTAAATGCACCTCCACCTTGAGCAGTCTAGTTGAAAGGCATCCACAGCGAGAGCCTCGCGATCAGGGAACAGAGTCATGAAGGAGGGAAGGCGCTGGTTCCACATTGATGCAAAGAGATCCACCACCTCAGAGAGACCAAAAAGTCCTGTAGAACCAGTGGAAGGACATGGATCTATAATGAGAGAACCTGTCTGCGGGAACATTGGACACACCCCCACGTGAATTGTGTGAAGATGCAAACCCCCGAGAAACCAGAAGCCAAACCACTCCTCTACAGAGGACTGGACCAAAGAGACTTGGTTCAGGCAATGAGCCACCAGGAAGAAACTGGGGCTTCTCCAGAAAGAGGTATTTCATTATATTCAACACTGGTTTTTGTCCAAAGATTAAATGTACAGTATAGAATTGTTCCTTTTAATTGTTTTCTTTGTTTATTGCAAAGGCTGAGCTGGAGGTCCAATATGGAGGTGTGGCACTGAGTGTTCAACAAGCCCAGATGTTGATGTTTGAAGATTCCCATCACTTAGATCAATACTATGTATATGCACACCTTTCACGCTGTGGTTGCAAAGTGGTTCGTCATCAGACACATCTCGTGTTTACACGTATGTATTCTTGTATTGAAGGTAACTTATGTAACTGGTTGTTACATAACTGCATTTCTGTTCAGTTTGTTAACTTAATTGTGGTTTAGGTACTTATGACCAGTGTAGATGGTTTTAGTTTTTCCATATGGCATGTGGTCATGTAGCCCTATTGACTGCCTTGGCACCCAGGCTCTTGCTGCTTCTAGCCCATAATCCTTTGTTGTGGACTAGCCCACACTCCTAGCCCACAGTTTAGCTCATATCGTACTATTTGCACGAACTTGACATAGTCCTTATTGAAGACCCAAGTTTGCTCTCGCAATATTTCTTGCATTTCTTGGTAGAAGATTGAAAATTATCATCATAAATTTATTCTGACGTGTAAGGATTTAACTAATATGATTTTTTTCTGGGAGGGCACCCTTAGTAGCTCTGCAAGCTAAGCTTAGGTCTAACCAGGTCTTAGCAAGATGCACCACCCTTGTGTACTAGGAGTCAAGACCTGAATCTAGATCTCTATGAGGCAAGGGGAATTTGGGGATCAGAGATCAAGTCAGAACCAAGAAACCCACTAAAAAGCATAAACACAACAAAAACAAGCTACTGCTTGAAAAAAAAGGTCCCTTCAGGTAGAAAAGCAAACAATCATTATCAGGGATCCCAATTAGACCGCCCCCTAATTCACTTGCCTGGTCACAGTCTTGGGGGCTTGGTACCTCTGATAGAGTCCATCCTCTGCTGTACACTTAAGCTAAATAGTGTTGGCTAGCTCTGGGGGATATTAATTCCACCAAGGGTCAGTGTTTTGATATTGTTTGACTTCATGATTGTATTTTACATTACCCGTATTGTGTGTGCGCCTATCTTTATATTTTGCTGAGTGTGGGGGTCAGGGTTCCCTTCCTTGGTAGTGGACTTGTATTCCCTGTTACTTGTATTCCCTGAACCCGCTCACAGAGATACCTGCTGTGAGCGGGTTCAGGCTCCTCCTCTGCTTCCTGAGCCACTTTGCTTTCAGTTAGCACATGTGACATGTCCTACACTGCAATGAGCCATGTCAACAAGGAGTGTAGTATTTGTCGATTGTTTATCATGGTGTGTTTTTCGTCTATGGTAAACTGTTGTCTACCATAGTGGAGATACAACAGAATTGGAGGTACAGAGAATTCAAAGAAATTGATTTCATAGTTGAAATCTTATTGGATTTGTAACTCTGCACTGTGTTAGATAATGTTCCAATGGTCTGTTGGGCATTTCTCCACAGTGCTGACATTTCCAACTATGTAATAATGATAAATGGTTAACTGTTTTATAAATATTCAGCTTGATTGTGGTAATGATTCTTGCTAAGGAGCTAAGGAATAAAACTAGAATTATAGAAATGTAATGGATAGAACATTAAAGCAGATAGGATATGTAAAGTGAAAAGGATATTGACAGGATGATGTTGACCATAGAATTCTGCATTTGCATGATAAAGAAAGAGAATATAAAGTTAAAATGGGTGGTCTCAATGAGAGGTGGATGGAGTTGTGTAATGATATAAATACTTCCAGAAGTTGTAGCTTTACTAAATTAATTATAGGTCATATACAGTGTATAATTTGATACCTCCCATCCTGCTCTTTAGTGAGAAATGATTTATTGAGCCTAGGGTAAAGGCAGTTGATGTTAATATCAAAACAGTTTTATTTATGCATTTGTTGTATATTTCAGACTATGAAAAACAAATCAGATTGGATCAGCATCAGGTAAAAAAAAAGGGATCCAAACTAAAGCTGAAAACTAGTGAAAAATCAGCTGATACTGAGAAAAATGTCAATATTGATTGCACCACAAATGAATTCCTAGATGATGAAATGAAAGAATTTTATGCAACCCTTGGGAAGACTGCAGAAAATTCCTGCAAGTTAGAGAAAAATTTAGCCACTAATTTAACTGAAAAAGAAAAATCATCTTCACACAAAAAGAACAAGAGTTCTGAGAATAAGGAAAAGCATGTACACAAAGAGAAACCCAGCCCATACGAAATTAAACGCAGAGATTTACTGGATATGTTTCCAACTATGATAGGAGAAAGAGTTAAGACTGTTTACGTTGAGCCACGAGAATTCCTTCCCCCAAACTGTATTCCGCACAAAGAGATTTATGAAATTTCTTTAGAAGCTCTTAATTATTACTGTTTGTATGATGATACGTCACAGACCCGACAAGGCCAGCAACAATTTAATAATCATCTGAAAGGAAAAAGAAATAGATGGAAAAATGCAGATAGTAATGAAACCTGGCAGCAACGCAATGATGATTCATACTCAAACAGGTGGCGACATGATGGTGATGATTTCAGGCAACAGTGGAAGAGAAGGAATACCTCAAACTATAATGATGAGGTGAGAAGCAATGATAGGTATTATGAAGGAGATAGGCAATGGAATAATAATGATGATAGAGCTAGGCAGTGGAACAATAATGATAGAGGTAGGCAATGGAACACTAATGATGATAGAGGTTGGCAATGGAACAACAGTGACAACAGAGGTAGGCAATGGAGCAACAACGATGATAGAGGTATGATGTGTAAAGATTATGACAATAACAGCCAAGGTGTTAGCAACTATGGAGGAAGAGAACCACCATGGCAACAGCACTATAAGAGGACCAACCCACCTCCTTACGATCATCAGGATAATGAATTCCATCGTAATGCGCAGTCACAATTCTACGATCCTCACTGTCAGGCTGGCACCAATGATGAAGGTTACGATGAACCGGAGAAACGTGCTATAGATTATAGCCAAATACCAGAATGGAAAACAAGACGACGAAGGTGGAAGAAAAAGGGAACTGGTTTCTACCCCAGCTACATGGTTAGGGTAAGTTGACTTTTTGTTTTAATATTGTATTTATTTTAGTATCAAAACTTAAGTTCGAGCAACGTAAGTTTCACGAGCGCTTTGTCCTGGGTTCATATCCTGGCCAGGGAGGATTTACTGAACGCCAATCCTTAACTGTAGCCTCTGTTTACCCAACAGTAAAAGGGGTACCTGATTGTTAAATGATTTAGCGGGTTTAAGGATTAAAGACTTGCCCGAAATGCTATGGGTGCTAGTGGCTGTACAAGAATGTAAGAAGTCTTGAAAATATAAATAAAATAAAATAAAAACATATTGTATAGTAGACTAATTGGCATATGACTCAATTTATCAATTGTTTTGCATTTTCCTTCCAGAAAAATGATAGAATGCATTTTTGTATGCATATACTATTTTTACATCCAAATAATATACAATAAATATAGTATTATAAATATAATAGAAGGTACAATGGGAAATAGTGTGCGTGCGCGCGCGCACAATTTTTACCAAGACCTAGAACTTGAAGAAAGTTATAAGCACCAAGTAGGCTACAAATTGCTAGGCAATATCTAGAGCAAAATCTTAGGAAAACACACCTACACAAACAAACATGTCTGTTTTGTGGGCACATTTCTAGCTGTAATACATATTTTTATTATTTACAGTTGAGTACCAAGGTTCACTCCTGGAAAGAATACAAGAAGATTGTGAGTGAAATGTCTGTGGAGAAGCTATTGGCTAATGGTCCAGGTTGCATCCTGTGGAATGGACGCACCACTCCACTCGTCAAACCTGCTATGGCCACCTCTACCCGTAAGACACATTGATTTTTGTTTCTACTCCCACAATTTTCCACCATTTCTAAAGTTTTCAGCATTAAACGTTAAGTAGATTAAAGTTGCAAGCCCCATATGTGGATTTTTGTTGTGCTAGCTCAGTTGATTACATAAAACCATATGGTGGGAATTGAAAAAAAAGTTTGTCTCATCAGTGACACCACACACTTGTGTTTGGATGCAATGCAGTGCTTGGTGTGATATTAACCAAAATATGTAGGTAACTAATATTCAGGTAGTCAGTGGTCAGCCAGGTACTTAAGTCGCCTATTTTTACTGGACTTCCACCAGTATGAACTTGTATATTGATCTATATTATACCAACCTTCCTTTCAATACTATTATTGCCAACATGCCAGTACAATAATAAAATGTTTGAAACCCACTGGTACATAATCTTGTATTGTGTGAATCACTGAATGATAAAATCTCATATTAATTATGACGATAATGTGATGTGCCATTATGTTTTGGTGCTGTTTTCAGTTGATTTAGAGATCATTGCTTTGAACAAGAGATGCCACTCCAGTGATCCTACTTTCCAAATGACTTACATTTCCTTGCTTTGAATATTGCTCTGTACTCGCCTTCACTTTCAAGGCAGGTCAGATATCCAAAGTGAAAGATGTAGAGATTTACTACATACATACCCTGTAAAATATAAATTTATGTGATAAGCTCATAGCACTAATAATATACTCTCTGAAATGGAGACGAGAGATATCGCATAAAGTGGTCTCTCCAAAATCCAAATTTCCATATAACATATATCTGGATCCTACCTGGAGATCCAGTTTGACTTGTGAGAACTTGGTCCAACAATCTGTTGCTTGGAGCAGCTCGCAGGCCTAACTATTCAATACAGCCTGATTGATCTGGCACTTCTTGCAGAACACTGTAATGTTTTTTCTATGAGATACCAATTTGGCTATTGGATCACACCTCCAAAATTCATATAATTTAGAGTGCAGATCCTGATTTTGGAGTGGCTGTGGTAAGATCTACAGTATATAGTATTTTCCAGCTGATAATATCTCTATCTAACCATATGGGAGGGCCCCTTAATAGCTCTCAGTGCTATAAACCTGAAGTAATCAAGCCTTGGGGGAACACTCAAGGACTCTGACACATGGGTGTCTATTGGGGCTAAAACGACAATCTTTTCCCCTCAAAGAGGCTTTGAGGAGCCTGGGACTCGGTGATCGCCACAGAAATAAGTAAAAGACATGTCGAGACGCCAACAGAAAACCTGTTGGCCTATACAAGGCAGCTCCAATATATCTCCACCCGAACATATATATTGGAGTGAATTTAAAGGTTTGAGAGAAAGCGGCTCAACAAGCTGGGCAGACATGGGTGTGTGTGAGGAAGCTTAAGATTAAGTGTGAACATTGCACAGTATGTTGTATGGAATAAGGCTAGATGGATTTTTTTTTTTTTTACAGGGGGTGTAAATGTAGAACTGTTTTAAATAACTTGTGGGAAGCACTTTACATCTATGTAGCTGTATTAAGCAGGGGGGGTGGAGTGCTGTTAACCCTTAACCTAAACGTTTATTTTTTAGGTTGTTTTCCTGGTACGCATAAAACTAGCATTTCATTACGATATAAAAAGGAAAAAAAAAACATTCCTAGTGTTGGAAAAAAATTAATAATTTCAGTTTGGTCAGTGAGGGGGAAGAAATGTTGAAAATGTCAATTCTGATTATTAATTTTCAAGTAAATTATTTGTAATAGATTTCTTTTATCAGAAATATCTCCCTGGTTCATAAATGTCCCAGACATGAATTCTGTTGTTCTGTACTTTGATTACATCTTTCATATTCTGTACAGAATCACTGTTGTCTGCATGCAGAGTTGTAGAAGAGAGTGATGACAAGAACTCGGGCACAGAAATACTACCACTGGAAAAACATTTGACAGTTCACTATGATGTTTATCTTCATACTGTACCTTACAAAAAGTCCAACCCAGGCATCCCGAGCAAGAGAATTGCAGTCATGAGGTATGTGCTAGATTGATTCATTTTGTGTTTGATGAATAAATTGTATAAATGTAAGAGATTGTTTATTGACCATTATCTAGAAAAAATGCCAAAATGGGATACTATGTATAATCACGTTTCTCTCTGGCTTTTTTAAGAATGCCTGTAACTAGGCACAGCACTATTAAATACAGTATAGTCTTTTTTGTATCTATTTTCATCTCATGCTTTATCTGTTTTCATCTCTCTTGACAAACCCCCAATTTTCATAAAACATTTTCCTGTCTACTGGAAGGTTTGTTAATTTTCTTTTAATCTTTTGGCTTCAGTCAAATCATTTGACACAAATTACTAATGTCATTTGCTGTGATAAATTGGCTTTGCCAATGTGACTAAAAACTTCTTCAAAACTTCATTCTATAGCCTAACAAATGAGCTTTTCAGATTTGATGTCCTTTTGTCATGTTACCATCATTTGGCAACAAATAAAAATATAAACAAAACCAGAGTGCCATTCGACTTATGCTGCATCTAAACTATACACAACCATATCTGCTCCTACTACTCCCTTCCTCAGGGCAGTCCAGTTTCTTCTGGTTTTCTTTGCAACTTCTGCTTTAGATATTAGGTGGCCGGTTCATCTGGCTCTTTATTAGATTGGCTTTTTGGTTTCCGCCCTTGATTCGGGTTTCTATTGACTGCAGGCTACTTTCCAGCAGGTTGTCTTGAATCTGAGGCTGCAAAGCTTGCTTTCCAATCCACAGTTGTGCCTGTTTGCTTCCTTATTGCCTCTGGTGATGGTAGGGTTCTTGTGTACCCCATTCCTCTGGAAGTTTTAATGGAGGTTGCAAAACCTACTTTCCATTCCTTTAGTTGGAAAATACTGGAAGGCCAGGTTCCTAATACAGTATGTATAGCAAAATAACAATGTAATGGAGCTAAAGCTATGGTAGAAAGTGCAGAATAGGCCCAATGAAGAGTCAAAGTGCCATAAGCATAATCAGAGAACACTGTATGAACATCAGAGGCCACAGCTCTTTAATATCCTCTCAACAAATATTAGAAATATTGCTGGAACAAAAGTGGTCATGTTAGAAAACAACTAGATGGGTTCATGCAGAATGTGCTTGACGAGCCAGGTTGTAATGGATATGTGGGCCTGCGGGTCGCTCCAAACAACCTATTAGACCAAATTATCGCAAGTCACCTGGCCAGCCTTGGGGAGTGTAAAAACTACCAGAACCAACTCCAGGTGTACATCCTGTAGGCACCTAGCATATACAGCTTTCCTCTATGCCTGCAAGTTTACCTTTCCAGGTTTTTGGGCTTGCCTTGTTGATGCCCTGATTATTCCTCTTATTCACTCCCAGGGCTTTAGGGGATTGTCCCACTGCTTTTGCATCATGTGAGGTTCTTGACATTTTGGGCGTTTTTGGTAAAGGATCCTAAGCTGCCATTTTCTTCTTGTTTTTGCCCACACAAGAGAGGAAAAGGCCTATACTAAACATAAGGCTTAGCCAGCTTCACGTTTATACTCAATCTCGTGATGTACGAAAGTTTGCCATATTGTCAGCTTTCTTAATCAATACATCTACAGCGAATACTCGTGTTATGGACTTTTGGCAGAATAATTACTAGCACTTGCTATCTGTTGAAATGTGCCTCTACCACACTGCATTTGTGTTGTGATCTGGCAGAGTGCCTCTGCTTTACATGCTTTCTTGTCCCCTTACCTTTTGGGTAAAAAACTGGTTGTCTTTCTATGTTATATGTATTTCCTTTCAGATTTGACAGCCTCCTCTGTTGAGGGTCTATTGAGATAGTATCAGGGAGTAACTTGGATTGGTCCTCCCAGAACTTCAATGTTTAATGTAATGAAACACCTCTCTCTGGTGGGCCACTCCGGTAGCTTCCCATCCCTGCTCATGCCTTCCTTTATCTGCGAGTTTAAGTGGGTTTGGGTCTGGACGACTTGTAAATCCAGGGCCCCAGCCCACTCAGTTTCCTGGGCAGCCATCTGGTGGCAAGGTGGTAATCGTCTCAATTGTTTACATCGTTATTGGCAGGTTTACAAATCTTTCCAAGCAGTTCCTTGTTTTGGAGTACTGGTTTGCTTTTTTGTAATGTTTTTCTCAGTTCTGTTGTGATCTCGAATCTCCACTCTTTCAACTTCTTTGACCTCCTTTCCCTCACTCCTCTGAGTTGGGTCCTGGCTCCTGATCTTGCTTGTGGGGGATTTAGATTTATGGCGTTTGCTGAGATTTGGATACTTCCAGGTTGTAGCATTGGGAAGCTACTGAGTGGCCCACCATAAGTAGGCATTTCCATTATATTGTATAATGGACTGTTTTTCCTAATTCCAATTTGCTGCCTTTTTTTTATATGCTCATGACTTAATTGGTGACACTCTTCCTGCTGTATAACTGCAAAACTGCATAGCCATCTTGCTGAATTTATTTTGTTTCTACTTGTCATTTATTGTGTACTTTTTATTAATACATTAAACAATTATCCAATCCTTAAGTCAATTAATTTTTCATTTAGGGATATGTCTATGCCAACACCTGGACAAATCTTGGAAGTTACCACAAGGTTCCATGATGGCGTACCTCTAGTCAGTGCAATAGTGGTGTGTGGAGAGGTGCGACTCTACACCCTAACGCCTCTTACTCTGCCTCATCCGGAGCCCTCAAGATAAAACAAAGCTCAGTTGCCTAAGATATATTAGAAATATATAGTAATAATATAGAAATAAGGTTTTATTTTTATATTTTTACAGCTGGGAAGTTTTTTCATGGATCATGTAAACTTTTTACCCATCTGGTATTTACTTCTGAATTTAGGATAAAAACCCACACTTGTGTATTTGTGAAATTTATGTAAAGAAATTACATCAAGGCTTTTGCACTCTCCTGCACACTTTATCAAGGTCTGAGTGTGTGGTTAGGACGAGACTTACATCTCAACATCTAATGAGGTTGCTAGCCTGGGGTCCAGTCCTTGACTTGACCATGTCACCTCTATTCCCGACTGCCGATGCACCTGCGGTAATGTCTTCTATGGAATTATGGTCAAGCGTTCATATATTTAATTTTTTAGTTCATGTATTTTTGGACTTAGGTTACCCCACTTGGTTTATTGAAAAAGCACACAGTAAAACTAAAGGCATCCTTTACACTAAAACTGAAAGACGCCCTTGGAATCCTGATAAGAAAAAAGTTTTGAAATTTCCATATAACCCTCTTACGTAAACTGACCTGTAATGTATTGATACAAAACAATTTTCAGTTACCCAAATACAATTAGGGAAAGGGTTTGCAAGAACAGAGGAGATATAATCTGGAAGGTGTTTATATATTACCGTGTAGAGGTTGTAATGCAGTCTATGTGGGGGAAACAGGAAAAAACTTGAGCTCAGAATTGAAGAACATAAAGTATTGTATGTAGAGTCATGGCTGGTAAGTGCTGTAGCAAACCGTAGTTGGAAAAAAGGCTGATCACAATATTGATTTTAAGAAGTGAAATAATCTTTAAAAGTAATAATATTAGAACTAGAAGGGTAGTAGAAGGGGTTCTAATAAATAATCTAGATACTTTTGCTGGTAACAAAAGCTTTACTAGGAAAAGGATTCTAAGTGAAATAAAATTAGGTCTCAATAAATGGATGAATGTAAGCAGTATTAGCTCTTGGTGTATGGAGAGGGTTATGAGGGACAGCATACAGATGAACACCTCTATTAATAACAACTCCAGTTCTCAGAATATCAGAATTACAGAAAGGACACCTGACTATGATTTCCATAGAAGAAATTACCGCAGGTGCATCAGCAGTTGGGAATAGAGGTGACATTGTCAGGAGGTCAAGGAAAAATAATAAGATTGAATCCAGGGTAGCATCCTCAGTAGACGTTGATATGTAAGTCTCATTCTCATCCTAACAACATACTTAGACCTTGATAATGCGCTCAGGAGAGTGCAAAAGTCTTGGTGTAATTACTTTACATAAATTTCACACGTGGGTTTTTATCCTATGTTATTATGTCTGTGACAAGACATTACCATTACTTCTGAATTGTTGTATACTGTGTGTCTAAATTATGCAATTCACCCTGTTGGGTAATAATTTCAATCATCTGGGATTAGAATGCAGGTCCAAATAACATGAGACAATTTCCACTAGGTCTAGATGCTCACGGCAACCTGTCCTCAGACCTAGTCTATTCCATTCAGTGGTCAACCCCAAAGATGCATTCATCAACTTTAACATTCTGTTCATTCAAAGCAGAACTTTTCTCATATAAATTATTATTATTCTGTATTAGCATATTGTACATATTTAGGCATGGGTTAGGTTAGGTGTTTAGGTTCTGTTGGTGATTATTTGTAGTATGTGGGTGAAGCATTTACAGTGTTGTAGTTCAAACAAAAGTTGACAGCAAAGCCGGAAGTCTTCAGTTGCGAGTCGTGTGTAAACCGTTTTTCATTCGTAAACGAGGTTTGGTGGGTGCATGGAATGGACTATGTCTTTGTTTGGAGGATGGGTGGGGTAGGGAGGGTTTAGTATCAGTTGAGTGTTGGTTACTTCTGTGACCATCCTAGCCTGGTGGTGAGCATCTATTCAGTCCCTAAATCAGTAAATACAATGAAATATTATATATGTTTTGTTTGTAACAATAACCAGTTAATCTGGCAAGCCAAATTTCTTTAACAATTTTATCTTGTACTTGCCTAACTTTGGCTACAGGGAGCAAAATCTAGTTCTATGGCCTACCTCCCAGCTACTGTACCTGGTACTTTTGTACTTCTTGATGTCCTAATATACTGTCATACTTGCTCTTAACCCCTGCACTATGCACCTGTCTCGTGTGACAAATATGTTGTGTGCACAAAACAAATATTTTTTCTAATATTGTTAAAATGCATTCCCTGGTCATGGGAAACTAACAAAAAAAGTTTGTATGTAGCTTACTTTGGCTGTGGTGGAGAGGAAAATCGTAATGATGTCACTGATAAATGAGATGCCTGGTGGAGGTTGCCCTGGCCAGACAAGTGGGGAAGTTGCCACGGTGGGGAAAGTTTAAACTGATTTCAGTATCAAAGTGCAATGATGCATTAGGCTGTCAATAATGTCATTTATATATCACATGGTGTAGAAGATCGGTATAAACAGATATATTCATGTAACTAATGTGTGTACAATAATATATTCTTTGAACAATAAAATAGTTTTTTGCTGTTATCACTCTGTATACACATGATATACATATATCTACATTTTTATGTACCAAAATGAGATGCTAAGTGCCACACATTGCCAGAAAACATGACCTGATACAACAAAATGCCTCCAATATACTATGCAGATTGTTAATGCAAGCCACAGCATTGCTATTATTGGGTTCCTGGTCACTAAACCATGAATATGAATCATTAACAAGTTTATTTTCTAAAGGAACACTAGATCCTGATGTATGATGAGTAGAGGATAAACCCACAGCTGTGCACTGTTGTCTTTTGGAACGTCACCACACGCATCTGGTTTACTGGTACCTGAACCTTGTACATAATGTTTATCACTGTCAAGGCCTTCTGTGTCACTATCTGCAATGATGCCGAAATATTTTCAATAATTAAGTGATGGTGTGAGCTGCTGCTTGCACTACACGTTAGTACCGAGGGCGCTCGCACTGGGGGAGGGAGGGTGTTGATTTTTTTTTTTTTCGAAGATGGGCTAGCATAGTACATAACACCAGAATATTAAAAAATATCCAGCAGACTGATTCATCTTAAAGTAAGTAAATTGCTAAACAACCCTCCACTGAAGGAGTATAGGTAAAGGACCATGAAGATACTCTAGTATTTGGATAGCCACATGGGATGCAGTGCCATTAGAATCTAGGTTAAGATTTCTGGTGTTAGAAATCATGCACTGGTTTTTTATTCAGCCAGTTGATAATTTTTTTTCACTGACAGCAATGATATGATTAAGCGGGATAAATAAAGAGATAAATTAAAAGGCAATATTATAAAAAATACTTGTATTCATACATATTTTATGAGTTACATTTCTTTGTCAGTTTTTATCATAAGTACAGTACTATGATGCAGCTAATGAATCCTTTGTTTTAACATTTGGCTCACTACAGAATAAAAATGTAATAAAGTCACTGGCTGCTTCCAAACATGGGTCCTGGAAGGAAAATAAATATTTTGTATTGCATATTGCTTGCATCATACATATGCTTCACTATGCCACAAAGGGCTGATTAGTTTATTCATTTAATGAGTTAAAACCAAACTATAATGCTTGCAGAAATTAAATTTAAATGTAATGGTAAAAGTTTGAAAAATGCACTTTATGATGCATTCAATCCAAGTTGAATATTTTACAAAATTAATGAGTAAAGTATATACAAACGAGCACAATATTGGAGTTCGGAAGGCAGTTACTGAATGGTATGAACAAGTGGGGTGAAAAAAATGTTTGATAAGAGTACTTTTACTAAAATTAACAAGAGCAACATTCCATTCTTTGTTCATAAACTGAGAAATTGCAGCATTATTCAATTATATTGAGAGAAATGTATACATCTTAAATTATTGAGAACAAGGTCCAAAGAGGCAGTAAAAGATTTATTTATACAGTATAGCTGAACAGAAGTGAAATATATTTTGAACTTTAATAGAATACCAAACTTTCTGGAAGCATTTTGTCAATATCTTTAGATACAACATTTCTTGTTCAAATCTGATGTTGCCATGATATCTAGGGTATTACAAGGCAAATTTTTTAAAGACTTTACAACTGTTCTCAATTTATTTTGAATCCTAAAAAAAAAAAATAATTAATTTACAACTGTACAACTGTGAGTCAAGCATTTTAGCAATACTTTTTTGGGTGGAACAAGCTTTTATTTTCCTGATGCTTTTGGCAATTTAGAAGAATGTGTTAACTTATCCTCACTTCATGGTAACTAAAAAATCAAATGTACTAAAGTGTTACTGTCTGCTTGAGCCACTAATTTTGTCAGGGAAGGAATGACATTTCGTAGAATTTTTATATAGAGCAAGAAGGCCATATGCAACTAGATAACATTTAAAAAATATGATAACATCATGGGAAATGTTTATTATTAAATGCAGTCACCAAAAATATCAATGGGCTAACCTTAACATCATCAGGTGCAAAAGGTGGAGCGAAGTGGCACCAGTTATGAAGTTGGTCCATAGTGGTGGCGGTGGTGTTGAGATGACATCCAGAGCGTCCTCCACTATACAGCTGGCATGCTGTACAAGCAATTTTTGTTATACGTAAGCTACTGTACAGTATATAATTAATGTTTTTTTAATTTGTTGGGACAGGAAGCCTGTGAATATATTAATTTTATACTTTTTTTTTTTCTAGATTTCCTCCCCCCCCCCCCCCCCAAGGTATATACTAGACTCTTCCCTGGCAGCAACCCCACAATAGCTGCCTAACTCCCAGGTACATATGTACTGCTAGGTGAACAGATGGATTAGGTGAAAGGAAACATGCCAAACTATTTTCTCTCCCAGGAATTGAACCCAAACTTCCCGATTGTGAATTGAGAATAATTCAATCACAATTAAATGAGAATTGAGCACTGAACAATTGAGAATAATGTCAACTGCACTCAAGACCCTACTATTCAAGTTCTAGTAACTTTTAACAAATTAACAAACTTATTACAGTACATATAATGAAGGAAAGTCCTGTACATTGGCAATCTCTGCAGCTTCTCAATGTATTTTCTTAAACATAAGTCCGAACAAAATTAACACGCTGATCATACAGTATTTAAAGAGGATGACAAGGTAAATGGTTTTGATAAATACAGTAAACTGACAGTTCTAATATTTCTAGTCATTTCTTATAAAATACAATAAGACATACCTCTCTCTGGCTGCTTAATAACTTGCTCCTGTTGTTTAGCCTCAGAAGCTCCGCCCTGAAGATCACACCGACACTCTAAGAGATCGTGTGTTAAGCATGCTGTCTCGCTATGCATGGTGAAGAGATCCTGGAAAAATTAACAATACATATACTGAGGCAATGCAATAAAAATACTAAACCTTAATATTTCTAAGTTAGAAAACTCACTGTTAAGAATAGAGAACTGACCATAATGAAACACCCTTTTCAGGAGGAACCACACTGGATCTTCAGATTCTGAACTGGTACTCCAGGCCAAAATCCAATACACCAGGTATATGTGGCCATCTCATGGCTTACCAGAATATTGTCCATAGAGAAAATCCCACCAAAAAGCTTCAAAATGCAAAAAAGAGAAATGTTTGGACCAAACAAATGTCAAAGTTATCCTAACACCCAAAATATAACTTCGCCAATTTCCCTACCTGCCACCAGATGGCGGCAATAGTCAAACAGATATGACAGTGCCCCCACCATCACAGTTATGTCTGAACTAACTCCCAGAATCCACAGGCAGAAAAAGGGGAGCTCCCAGAAAGGAGTATTTCATTAACAGTACAACACTTTTTGGAGTTGTCCTCTCAATGGCTCCCAAGAGCTTATTTCTTATGGTGCTTCAATATGAGGAGCCAACAGTCAGCCAGCACTGCACCCCAAGGGGGAACAGAGGAAGAGCTAAGCTCAGTGATGGAGGGTACAAAAACAGCTCCATGCACAGCACGAGACCTTTGGTGCTAAGGACCAAATAATGCTAAACAATACCCATGGCCCTACCCTTGGCACTCCAACCCCTGGTGCTTCATCAATAGAACAAGAAGAGTTCTTCGAGTGTTAAGCCAAGATCCCCTGCAAGATGCCAGAAAAGACATCTATAGACCTCGATCCTACCCCCAAAAGACTATAGATTCATAAGCCAAACCAGAAAGAGAAGGGGGCCACTGCAGGAATTTGTCACAACTGTCTCTGCATCGAACCCAGGCTGGGCAACCCATAGAGTGGCTCCCAACATCCCCTGAAGACCTATCACACTTCAGATCATGTACCAACGAAAGGGGAAAAAAAAGCCAGGTGCACCTTCCCTATGCACAGACATATTGTGTCTTCACCTTGAAAAATGTGGGCTTACCCTGAGGTGTCTTGAGCCAGACACTTCTACACCTGCATCAGTCAAAATCAACAATATTTCACAATGCTGTCACTGCCAGATAGGTAACTCAAGTCCAATGACAACAAATGTCTCAGACTCAGGTATAAAATCAATGCAAATCCTAGCAAGCAGAATGCCCATCCAGTGCTAGGAGCATTGACAAGCACTTGGGAAAGCCACATAAATTAGAAACAGGCTTGGAAGACAAAGCTATATTCTCCCTAAAGAAAAAATCATAGGGAGTAAACTATTGGCACAAATTGAACAGGAAAGCTGTGCACTGAGTGTGTTTCACATAACACCCCTAACCATGACCTGGGAATATGTAGTGAAGGTAGAATGCTATCATCGACCTCTCCCAGTCCATGTTACATAGCACGTCTTCACAAAATATGGCTTTGGTGCCCAACCTTTCTGGTGGTTTTTCTCCTAGGTACTATGATGATCTTAGATCCCCCAGACACATTTAGTCTTTACTGAGGTGGTCTCTACTTGAGGTGAGCAGCAATCTTATGAATCATTGGGGCCAGATGTGTAGCAAGGGTAAGATACCAAGGGAGTTGCCCTCGGAAAAAATGCTCCCAACTGTAACACTATTCTTGGAATATGAATAACAAATAAATTCTACTGTCTTCAGAATTGAAGTTAAGCCCCCTGAACCACACACACACCAACCTTAAGTTCCTCAATCGAGAAGTGAACCCTGTCAGACTCGCGAGCATCCACTACAGCTCCACTTAAGCCTTGCTTTTTAATCTGTCGCTGATACATCTTCTCATCCAAGGATCCAGTTACTAACAATCTGAGAACAAATTAAGAACAATTAATAATGCCATGTTATAAGCTATGAAATTAAACTTTAAAATTTTCAGTCACTATCTGCCTGTTTAACTACACTGGGTGTATGTATTTCTCTCCAAAAGTCAGTATACAGTATTTTTTAATTTTTCAAGTAGTTTTTTAGTTATATTTAACCACTGTTTCTATTACATCTTGTCATTACCCATGTGGCAGGGATGGATTACATAGGTATACACTAAATAAGCAGGAAAACAGTATCATACACACCTGTATATGTAAACCTTCCTTTTCTGACCATCTCTCCAGACACGTGCCATTGCTTGCATGTCTGTGGCAGGATTCCAGTCAATATCATAGAGGATGATCCTGGATGCTCCAATCAAGTTTAACCCCACTCCTCCTGCCTTTGCACTCAGTAGAAATACAACTGAAAATGATTAGTTAAAAAAACTTAAATTAGATTCCCAGTCAAATTTTACCATTACTCCTTTAACATCAATATGCTATCCCTCTATTCTTAATAAATCATTTTGTCAGGGGATAGGCAGTCTGTGTATGCATATACATTAGGCTGGTTCAAGGTTCTGCATTCCTTTTCCCTTCCTGGTCAAAATACTGACCCTTCCCAGGATGCAACTTCACAAACGTTAACTTCCAGGTACTGTACCTATTTACTGCTAGGTGAATAGAGGCATCAAGTCAAGTTACGATTAATAATGTTGCCAAACAAAGGCTGGGAAGGGTTTTTAATTTATGGCAATTTATCTCTAATGGGCATTATATCTCCTGAGGACACTGTAGGTAGGCCATTACATGAATTACAATAAAACATTAACTTACAATCATTGGAATGTTGGCTATTAAATCTATCTACCAGCTGTTGACGTTTGTTAGTTGGTGTGGATCCATCCAGTCTGAGATAGGGATAGTCGTAGCGGGTGCAGAGTGTGGCCAGCATGTCTAATGTGGATGTATAATTGGAGACGAGAACAATCCTCTCTCTTCCTACTTCTTTCAAAGCCCACAGCATACATGACACTACTGCCAACTTTCCACTGTCCTGTTATAACAATTAAGTTTATATTTTTGAAGAAAATTATTTCAGAATAAGTACAGGATAATTACTAGTAGTAATATGAAATTATAAATATCATTATCAACACCTTTACCTTACTTTTAACTTTCAAATGGGGCAATCATAGAACAAGCTTACTGATAAAAAGGGTTGAATAAAGAGTAATGCCCTACAGACCAGTAGCAATAACATGCAGCCCATGTAAAGTAACTGGAGAACAAACAGCAAGTGAATGGAGGAACACCTGCAGGGGACAACTTTTTTAACAGATACTGTACATAACATGGCACTTCTACAACAAGGTCATCAGGGGGGGGGGAAGAGAGCTGGAAAGACTAAGATTATCAAATAAAGCACAAAATGTAATAAAATTATTAATTATTTTTATTTGAGCAGGACCCTCAGTAGCTCCTGTAGCCAAGAACTCAATTAACCAAGCCTTGGGAAGATGCACCAGGTCTTTAAAAATCACTCTTTCATACTTTAACCTAGAATCTAGGTCTATGAAGTGAGAGATATCGAATCCAAAACCAAGAAAAATAAACACCAGAGCTCAAGTGCAACAAAATTAGATAACCTCGGGTAATGAGACAAATGATCACTGATGTGGTGTAAACCCCTTAACCATGATGTGTCCCAACTACCCCAAAGTGGCAGCCCAGGGTTACCCGGGTTCCCAGTCAGCTCACCTAACACACTAGTCGCCCAAACCCAGACCATACACCCCACAGAAAAGAAGGGAATTTCTCGGTTTTGGGTTCTGAAGACTTGAATCATGGCACCCTTGCCATGATTCAGGTCCTGATTTCTAGTAAGCAAGAGATGGGTGGAGACATACATGCCAATAACAATTTATCCCCATAACATTTCACTTCCACAGAAATAATAATGATGTTATTCAGTGTGTTGCCATTCCATTCATAATAATTTTCACGATCATTAAAACAGAAAATTATTGCAACAATTCTCTAGCAAAGTATCTATAGAAGTATCTAACCCATTTCATAGATTGAGAAAGGTACTCTATGCAACCACACACATTTTATCCTAATGAAAAGGAATACCTCACCTTTTCATCAAATATGCCAGGCTTCAAATGGGCAGGAAGCAAACTTGCAGCTTCCAGAGTTAGTTCACTGTGTTTTTCTTGGTCATTGGTTACAGCCAATAATGCAGGATGATTACACAGTTTACGCAAGGCTAAAATTGCTGACAAATGATCTCCTGTGTCAACATGGCTGAAACACTTCTTTAAACTTCTACATCGTACTATGTCTGAATATAATGATAATTGTGTGTCTGATGGCTGGCAGAACACAACAAATTCTACTTTTGGTGGCAAATATCTGAAAAAAAGATAAAAAATTCATTAGCATATACAGTACCCTTCATTTGTGCTCATGTTTGAAATGCACAGTTTTGCAGTTAATTTTTTACACCACTCAATGGAGTGACAGTTGTGCAAGCTGGCACAGGGTAAATCATGTGTTATATTTTAGAGCCATGGTCTGCCAGTTTGCCTGCAATTTAGTGCAGCTCACTTAAACCTTTTTACTCCTCATGTTGATGGATTTTATGAACTTCATGGATTGCGACCATGCATCATGGCACCTCCCAAAACTCCCGCAAATTCTCCTGTAACCCAAGATACCCCATGAAAAATACTACAGGTAATTTTGACTAGAATAAAAACTTGAAAGTTATAAAACATCTTGGAAGAAAGGTCAGCTGCCTCTCTTGGGCTTGTCAAACATGACTTAATCCAGCACATACAAATAAGAAGTGGCCAAAATTAATAGTACAGTGTAGTTACATATTTCAGTTAACTAAAGGCCAAGACGATGTAAAGAGTATAACAAATTCTTTGAAAAAAATATAAAATATGTTGTTATCTGGGTGGAGTACTGCATTTGTTGAATCATTTAGATAATTGTAACAGGAAAATGGAGTGTACTCTTTAGCTATAAAGGACCATTGAAAATGTCTTTACTCATAAGACATTTAATATTCTAAGAAGCATTCAATATTTATTTTCTGGGAAAGAACTCAGACTAAATTACAAAGTTTGGATATTATCTCATCATAAATGCCAATGCATAAGTAACATCATTTATTACCTATTGATGGTATCCTGGGTGCGCCTTAGAGTGAAGAGAGATGTTATTCTGTTCAGCTGAGAGGCCCGACTTGTACCTGAAGCAGAATTAACCTATTTACAACAGAGAAATGACTAACAAATGTTCAATGGAGAATTTTACTGTACACAGCAGAAGAGGAATACTGTACACAGAAACCGCATTTCTACAAACTAACGATGAATCAATCATAGCCAATCAAGAGAGAGATCACTAAGCCAGGCATATCTCACAAAGAAAATTTCTTTCTTTGGCATGTTCTGGAAAGAGTACTGGAAAGACAGGACATCACAAGCGTAGCTCTCATCCTGTAACTACATCTAGGTAAGTACACACACTGCTGTGGCCCTTTCCATTTCTAGTTCCCATTTATGTCTTCTAATCATATTTCTCATCTAAATCAGAATGTTTTTATTTACATTTTCAATGTATCTTCTATGTTGTGTAAGTTCAATTCTTTGAATTTCTCCTCGAAGCTAAGTCTTTTACACCTAGCATCAGTCTTGGCACAAATCTCTGAACTTTCTCAATTAACTTTTTGTGTTGCATACATCTGATTGGTCTTTTAATGGAAGGGAACTTAGTTCATTTCTACAAGTGTTCACCCCAAGGTCAGCATCCATATTTACATAAAAAGGCTGCTAGTTATGCATGCTTATTTGGCTCCACTTACATGCATGAGCAAACATTTAGCCTTTTGAATCACAACAATTCAAATATTTGAATTAGAATAATGGTAGCACCCTACACTCCATTATGTTTATCATCAGCATAATTTAATCTCAACATCAATAAACTTGTTTCTAAAAACCAGTATACGAAATCACATTGAGATACTAATCTCTCATTGGAATCATTGGTATACTATTTGTTCTCAGTGTATTCACGTACAAAGCTAAATCAAATCTATTCTCTAATGTACATTGGCAACTGCTGATAGCCTATTGAAAGTTTTCAAATATTGCATATCAGCAAAAATTTAAAATACCGATATGATTAAAATGTCAAAATTCTGATACTATATCTGACTAAATAGTTTAGTGTCTCCTTACAACTCAAGTTTTTGAATGGAGCTCCAAAATAAAAAAATAAAAAGTTTGTGCATCCCTGGGGTATATAACTTCTCAGTAAAACACAAACCCACTGTTCTCTAATACAGTACTGTACTAATGATAGTTATCTTCTTAAACCTTCATTACAATTCATTTACTCAACAGAGGCTAGTGAAATATCCACTGAATGACCATGGGAATACGTATCCAAGTTTACTCCCAGATTCCCATATGATTAGGTGTGGCTATATGGATAATGGTGATGGTATCCACAATAGGTACAATTCCAAGAAGCAAGATTTGTGCACATTGTGTGTACTCAAACACATGTTATGAAAGTACACTAAGCATGAAAGACCTTGGTCATTGAGAACTCGATAGCAATGCACGTTGCTATCGATGAAGCTAATGGGAGATGAGCACTCCCATTAGCTTTATTAAGAATTACCAATTATTAAGAATTCACCAGTCTCCGTGGTGTAGTGGTAAGACACTCACCTGGCGTTCCGCGAGCGCTATGTCATGGGTTCGTATCCTGGCCGGGGAGGATTTACTGGGCGCAATTCCTTAACTGTAGCCTCTGTTTAACGCAACAGTAAAATGTGTACTTGGTTGTAACAACGATTCTTCGTGGCAGGGGATCGTATTCCAGGGACCTGCCCGAAACGCTACGCGTACTAGTGGTTGTACAAGAATGTAACAACTCTTGTATATATACTGTATCTCAAAAAAAAAAAAAAAAAAAAAAAAAAAACACTGTCTACTTCGAATTTCCAGTAATCCTGGTCTACTGGGAAAATAGTTGTCATAGAAGAATAAATGTTTTTTTTTATGTAAAATACATCAATGAACATCACTGAGAATACCGAGATGTGAACGAGTATTACTTTACTGGCAATAAAGAGAGTATTCATTTTAAACTTACCCAATTCCTTTTCACTCTGTGATGAAGTTGGCTGCTGAGAAGCAATTATGGGATTCTCGTATACATTGCGAAAAGATGCTGACGAACCGAGTACACCTGGATTCACAAACTGTACGAGGGCGAACAACTCCTGTAATAATAAAGATAATTTACTGGCTTTAACCCAGTTAATGTTTATTATGTGAGACAACTATACACAAAAATGCTACAATATGCCAGTTCAAACATGCTTTTTAAAACACTCTCACTTGAAGATCATTCTGGACTGGAGTTCCTGTAAGTATGATACGTCTTCTGCAACTCAGACTTGCAAGAAGGGATGTGGTTTTTATGCTGACATTCTTTAAGCGGTGTCCCTCATCACAGAGCAAAAGGTCAAAGTTTAGAGTTTCAATTAGATCAACACTACGCATAAACATTTCATATGATATAATCATAATTCCTGAGTGCTGCTGTTTGCTGAACTGTTCAACCTGGAATAGAGAAACTACTGGTATAATACAATAAATACCCTAAATGCATCAAGAAATGTAAGCTTAATGACATTATATAATTGATTCATGAGTGTACCAGTATCTTTTTGATAGATATGAAGCAAAACAAATTATAAAAATTTGTATTTTAATTTAATAAAGTTATTACATTAATATACAGTATTAGCAAACTCATTTGTCAAGTTACCATACCTTGTTGCTCTGATCAACAATGTAGACTTTAACTCGTTCTCTCCCAACCCATTTCATGAACTCTTTGCCCCAATTGTTTGTGAGACTAGATGGAGTGACGATCAAAACTCGCTTCACAACTGGACATCTACCATAGGGACCCTGACAATTTTTTATATATTATACCCCACACAACTTTATTTTGCCTTAATACACAAGAAAATAAGACTTTGCATGTAAATGAAAAGTTCCTTTCTGATCATGGCACTCAGGTGTGTCCTCAGACAAGGCTCTGCTTTTTTCAATGACCTATGCACAGTTGAAGGGTATCAAAATTTTACACACATATGCACCAGTGATCTTTTAAAATGTCTGTCAGGCCATACTGATGTTAGGACACAGGAGGGTTGTTAATTTAGCACAATGACCTTGAGAAGGTTTATTCAACCACCCTTAAACCCCTTTAAAGTGCTACTCTTCATCACTCTACTAATCCTTAGTCGATTCCTGCTGGTCTGGTGCAAAACATTAAAAAGCCTTTACTGTGTACTCTGGTGTCCACATAAATAACTTGGAATGATGATCAAATGGAACTAATATTAATTCAAAATATTGTCATCTTTAATCACACATTAACTGAAATGACTTAATATATATACAGTATTACTTTTTCTAAGTCACTATTAGCAAGAATTAGAAACCTTGACAAAATTTATATTTAGCATGCAAAAACTTACTTGTTTAAGAAGGGTCCACACAAGAGCAATACACTGCAGTGTCTTGCCAAGGCCCATTTCATCAGCCAGTATTGCTCCAAAGCTGCCAACAAGCCTGAACCCCATCACACACTCGTACAGAAAGATGACACCCTCATGCTGGTGTGGTCGTAGCTGTCTACTGATGTGTGGATCAATAACTACATCCACCACTGTTGCTCTACTTGTGTTATAGTCCCACTGTCAATGAAATAAGATAGTTCACATATGAATGGGTTGTCACTAATATTGGAACCATCAAAATTGCTTGTTTGAAATTGGCATTGAAGTGGGTGTGGACTGTGTTGGTTGACCTCACAAACCTCATATTTACATATGACATTTGGCAGAGTGGTGCCAAGCAAACATGTTCTATAGGAGAACATTCCAAGTGATGATGAAATTGATGACAGTACCTGTACTAAAGAACATAGGACAGATACCTGATGTTGGCTTGGCGGTCTGGGCATGACAAGGGCATCATATTTGGTAGGGTCAAACAGAGGCTCAATGTCTTTACTGGTGATAACAGACTTGTCATGTGATTGACCTAGTGTAGGGAGGCGAAAAGGTTTTGGCTTCGGTTTGGACAATTGGATTGCTTCCTTGGATACATTTTGAATTTGTTTTATTTCGCTTTGAAAACATTCACCACTTGCATATTTCTCAGCACTGATTTTGTCTTGAATCTGAAATTATAATTTGATGTTAAAATTAACGTAGGTTTAATACTTGAACGCAGCACTGAATGTAATGAAATACAATACCCTTTTCTGGTGGGGGCCCTTAGCAGCTTGCTATGGCGGTATGTCCACTCACAAGATGAGTGGCGCTGCCCAATAAACTCGCCCCTCGGGGCAAAATTTAAAAATTTAAATTTAAGACCACAATTAAACACAGAAGAACATCATCTGCATTCAAAATGCCCCAGTACAACATGGGCATGCTGCAGACAAGGAATATCCATTAAATAGTGCCATGTCAATACCCTATTGGAGTGCGAAGACCCAAGCCCAGATATTACTCATGGATATACTGAAACGAAAGCCACCAGAGCAACAAACTCCTGGACATCATGAGTGAGGACGCACAGGCAGTCAGCTGAAGGGAACCAGCTTACGGGTGACCAGGGAGAGCCGAGTCTTGGAACACAGGACATGAGACAGTTGGCAAACAGTGCCTTAATCTGAAGAGTGAATGTAGCATGCAAATAATACCACTTTGTGGTTTTATGAGTGTGTAAGATGCACCAACATTGGACAAACCAAGCATCAATGACTGACAATCCCTCCAGTAAGTTGGAGTCTCATTATTAGTTAAAAAGCCATTAATGGGCACAGACACAAAAATCATAATGTTGGTAAAGAGTTTGAGGCTTCCCAACCCAAAGGCCTCGTGGGTTGCCAGACAACAGGAGAGGGTCCAGCAAGGCTAAATAATAGCATTAGGCACCAAATGGTGATGATAAAAAAAGTAAGAGCTGGAAAATAACAGGGACCAATATTACCAATTTTTATTACCAGACAAGCGAGAAAGGTAAAACATTGGAAAAACTATGAATTATGGGAACAAATACAACAATTAGTCCAGTGTATTGCAGCTCTTTAGTCTAATGGAAAATTTGTTTCATAGAATTAGTATGTCATGCAGCCAATTCTTTCTGGCCTACCAAGAGTTGTTTTTCTTGAAATGTTCCAGTGAGGCTACAATGTATACAGTATTGTATCTCTAGATTTACAAAATTTCATGAATAAATTAACCCAAAATTTGTGCATCTTTGTCATGTCATCTTTAGACATTTAAGATTTCTAGCAAAGATGAAAATACAAATGATTTTGATTTCAAGAACAGAAATATCAAGCTTCACAAAATTAACTGCAAATAAAAAGAGGATTATTTGTCATTACAATTTGGTTGGTAAATCAGTTTTGTTGTAATTTCTTTCAGATATGTTAACAACTTCTTGACAAATACTGATAAAAACGGAGCAGTCTGAAAGTAATATCATTGCACATCATACCCAAAGCACTTTGTACGAAAACTTACCTCAATTTCCTTACTTCCAACAGGAAGTGTACTACCATTCTCTAATGACAATAAATCTGCCAACTTGTATCCAGATCTACGACCAATCTCCTTTCCCTCTATGTCCTGAAGATTAATAAAACATTTAGTAAAAGGTTAATGTAAAACTACACTGCTTTTCATACTGAATTTATCACCCATATAAAATCTTGTTTACACTCACTACATCACACCCTCCACATGAATTGTATTGCCCTACAGACACACACAGCTTTGAAGAGCAAAGTAAGTCTCAGAAGCAGGGAAGCAGCAGAGATATCAGAACTTAGTTTGCCTGAAGAGATTTGGAGACCTAAAGGAAGAAGCCTGGAGGAGGATAGAAAAAGAATTTGTTTAAAAGCTGTAGAAGAGGTAAAGTCAAATCTTAAACCTATTCCACATGGAAAGTTAGGTAATGATAGATAAAGAGGGAGGCATTTTTGGTCAGTGTAGGTAGTCGAGGTTACTAGGGGGTCTAGGAGAGTACAAAAAGGAAATGCAACAGACTAATGTGTAAGTAGTCAGGGAAAAAGAATGAAGCATTTAAGGAAGCTAAAGATTGCAGTGAACAGACAAGCACAGAGATTAGGAAAGAACCAGCATCAAGTAACAAGGGAGTACAATAAAAGTATGGAAGCTCCTATTCATTTTTGAACGCAAAGAAAGATTACATATAGAGTAGAAAGAACTACACAAGTAGCAAAGATCATACAAAGCTATCAAGTGAGCAGACGGCCTAAATAACTAGGGAAAATAGAGAAACTTGCCCTGTTTCCACCACCCAATGGAGCTCCTGAGGAGGAGTAAAGCATCACAATACAGACAGACAGACAGACAGAGACAAAGCCTGTCACACAAGTGTCACTAGCCATCTGTGTACTGCCATTACCTTTATCAGAGCCAGGATTATTTTAAATTCACTAATGCAGTATTATTTCTATTTCATGCCATTCACCAGGAGACTTGAACCGTAGACCCCACGCACGTGAGGCAGAAGCTCATTTTCTATTTCAAGCATTGTTGCACACACATAATAAATAAATATGATGCTTGTTTTCATGTTATCCAAACCAATGCATATAAATGAATTTGTTTTTATCCTACGTTTAAGGAAAAATATCCTAGAATACTGTAATTTAACTTTGTTAACATGAGTATAATGTGTCATACACACTAAATAAAAAATGATTGGGACTAAAAACTTGTGTACTGTATTACATTACTTTTGTCCTTTCAGTGCTACCTTGAGAATGACAGTCCTGCTCTTCACAATCAGCACAGCATCCCCTTCCCAATTCTTGTGCTTTTTCCTGGACAACTTGCACCAAACCACTGAATAATATCTGGAAGATAATTGTTGGTTAATGCTCATCAGTTCATTTACTTTGAAGTTTTAATCATTCTTTGAAACTATTACATATTATTCACATATTTTTAACCCCTACAATGTCTGTACTTTAAATATTTAGTAATTTTATATATACTTTTTCAACACGAGTCTCCATGGTCACGTTAAATTAATTCATTTTACTCAACATTTCCATAGCTGTATATGTAAATCCATTTGCACCCAACTAAATAAAACATGGTTAATATAATTACCAATACATGAAGACAAGCACTGGATGTGCACAAATTATAGATTAGTGTGGCAGTACAGTTTCAAAGTACAGTCGTTGTGTTTTCACAGTGAGTAAATAATTGTGCATAAATTAAAAAGCATCCACATATAAATTTCAAACTTCTGTAACAAATAGGAAGTTCCTCTTATCCTTGTACTTAAGACTGAAGAACCTTGTGCTAATTTGTTAATATAAAGAAGTCTTTAGTATACAGTAAATGAAAAGCTCCTTTGTGAGCAAGACAATCGATTACTCCCAAAGACAAGTGTCCAGTATTTCTCTAGACATCTCAGCCTGATCAGTGCGACCTTCACATCTCCGACGGAACAAGGATCAAGCTGCCTTTCTAGCAAGTCTGTAGAAGGCAGGATGTCACAATAATATAACTGAATAATAGACATCCAACTGGCACAACTGAAAAGTACAGACAACATTTTGGTCTGCCTTGAACCATTTTCACACAACTTCTTAATGGTCCAGTATGGACCAAATCCTCGTCATTTCCTTTATTTTCAGATGTGTGGGTTAGGTGTCTCCTGAAGGTATCTGGAGACAAATACAACCCAAGAGAGCAAACACAAAAATGGCAAGACACCGAAATATATCCTGGAGGTTCAGGTAAACGAGTCATATCAGCCCGTCCTCTAAACAAAGACCCAAAGTCCATTCCATGCACCCGCCAAACCCCCTGTTTATGAATGAAAAAGGGTTTACACACGACTCACAATTGATGAGATTCGAACACTTCCGGAACAAGTGCTTTGCTGACAGTTATTCGAACTACAATGCTGTAAATGCTTCACCCATACAACCACAAATACAAGTAATTGGCAACAGAACCTAAACATCTAACCTAACTAGTGCCTAAATATGCACAATATGCTAATATATAATAAAATTAATTTATATTTGAGAAAAGTTCCGTTTTGAAAAAGCAGATTGTTAAAATTGATGAATGCGTCTTTGAGGTCGACTGTTGAATAGAATGGAATTGGTCTGAGTATGGGTTGCACATACAGTATTGCTTGATACCACCTAAGAATGATCTAAGGGGGGTTCTGGATAACAAACTATCACTAGCGCATCACATTGAAGGTGTTGTGAGAGGAGGTTGCTCTACACTTTCAAATTTCAGAATCATTTAAATACATGGATGGAGAAATACTTAAACTGTTCACAATATTCATGGACCTCAAATTAGAATATGCAGCAGTTGTGTGGTGTCCATACCTCAAGCAGCACATCAATAGACTAAAAAGGCTGAACTGGAACTGAACTACAAGAGCTATGAAGAGAGGTTAGAGCCATTAAATACTGGTATGCAAAAGCTAGATGATACAAGGAAAAAGAGGAGATATGATCACCACATACAAAATAATTACATGAATCAACACAGCTGACAAGGATTTTTTTTAACTTGTAACTTAAAAAACAAGACACCATAGTAGTAAGTTAAGGAAAAAGTTTTTACTAAAAAACATATACAAGTTTTTCTTTTTGCGAAGACAGTCATAGACAGTCGGAACAATTTAAGTGGTGGAGGATACCAAAACCATCAGTAGTTTGAAAGTGTCTTATGACAAAGATTAGAGGGAAGACGGGCCATCGTGATAATAGCTCATCCTGTAGCTGCACTTAGGTTGTTACACATTACAGGTATATGAGACAGATAAAAAGACTGACTGATAGACAGACATGAACCCAGTGAATTAAGAGATTGTGTTTACCTATCAGTATTCGCCAAGCATGACATCTTGCTCTTTGGCCATCACCACCTAGTAATTAATTTATAGCTATCTGGTGCTTATACGTAATATAATTTTTGTTATCGTGTATTATTATCCTATGCTTTACCTTCCAGTATGGTATCTAAACAAATGAAAACAATTTATACTACTATATATTATTTGTATGTGCATATATGCACAAAGGTGTGTTCTATTGTTTGCATTAAGGAAAATATAAAAATTTAACAAAATTGCAACCTCTTGGAGAACCAGAAGAGGTTCAATCCCAATTAGTGCACTCAAGCAAGATGCTATTTGCACATTTATTATGCAATTCACTAAACCTGATGACACACACTACTTTTTACTCCAGAGTCAAAATACTGTATTTCCAATCAAATACATGACAAGCCTTTGAAATCTTTTTCTTTCCAGATTTTTTTAACAATTACTGTACTCAATGTTAATAATGATCCTCAAAGAAACTTCTAAATATTTCATATCGAGATTAATACTTTTCCTCCTTCGAAACAATTTCAAATGGATGCTAGTACCTTTGTAAATTTTGTATACTTCTATGTTATCTTTAGAAAATTATACTGTATAAGACAACAAATGAGCAAACAGTGAAATTTAAAAGGCTACAATTCTTGGTTTTACAAAATTGTTTGACCACTTACTTTTCTTTCTGAGGTTCCTGGTTTTCCTCTTCTGCTGATGCACTGTAATGATTCCCTTGGCTGATCTGTGGCCTTTGCCATGGTTTTCCACATCCGACGAGCTTTCTCGATGGTACATCAAGTTGCCTACCAAGTGATCTTTTATGAAACCCTACAGTGTGTTTCAGTGCATTGCTGCCACTTTCTTGTAGTGGAGACACTAATATCTCTCTCTCTCCTGAATTATGTACATCTTGTCCATTATTTGACTCAATTAATGAAGTTCCTTGATTTCCAGTGCTATTGCACTGGTTGGAAGAGTTTGGCATTGTGTTGCCTAATGCAGTCTCGGGTTTCTTAATTAGAGACAGAATGTCTGAAGGACTCCGAAGTGGACCCCCTTTTGTTGTAACAGGCTTTTCGTCCTTTGGAGTAGGCAGACCAGATTCTAGGACATTTAAAAAGAAAATAACTATATTAGCATTCAGTGTAGGTAGTAAATTTAAATTTCCATATAAATACACAGTATGAGGAATGAATTTTTTTTTTACTCTTCATCTTGGATGTCTTATTTCCTATGGAAACTACATTATCCCCCATTTGCAACCTTAAAAACCTCAATGGCTCCCTTAGGAAATGTCTAGCTCTCTTAGTACAGTACTTACAATACTTTTAGAATCTTGCTCTCATGAGGCATTTGTTCTCGAGACTCATTCCAAGATTTAGTCTTCACATGTTTAGGCCTATTTACAGTGCCAAAAGTACTCACTTTGTTGGAATTTCTTAAGATATTTATATGCTGTTGCATATATATGCAACATATATATTATTAATATGACATATATATTAATATGCTGATGCATATTAACTGTTTATATGCTTCTCATGGTACCCAGAGATTGATCAAACACCAGCTGGACTTTTGTTACAGTGCTGAGTGATCTTCCATGTGGTCCTTCACACATTAATTTGTGGTCAGGGTTGTGTCTCAGGATATATTTCATAGGTCTTGTTGTAGTTTGTTTAGCCTAGGGCTTTATGTTCCTCTGAAACCTGTTCTCTTTCAGTTGTTTACTTTGCTACTTGCTCCAGGGACTCAGCTTCTGCCCATTTTAGTGCTACTAATGTGCTGTGTGTTCTGGCTTTGGTTCTATACAGTACATGCTTCCCAGCAAACCCTGCTCTCCTATGGTTTCATCCCATGAATGAGAAGTTACCTGTCAGTTCCATTAGTCATATGCACTGTATTCCCTCACCCATACTATAATCACACACACAATAGATCATAAGCTATATGTTTGAGAGCAACAGAATAAACAACCTCCGAAAAAATTATTAGTCACAACAAAGTGAAGAAACTCCTCAGCCATTTTGGCCTTGAACCTCTGATCCTGTGAACTTGGAAGAGCATAATCATTCAAATAAATGCTATTGATATTTCTTGAAATGTTCATTGTTATCATGCAAAATTTTAAGATTAATCATGTTAAACACTTCTGGGTTGCTAGACACACACGGCTGATAATACAACCTAACAAACTGCCTGAGAAGTGCTACATAAAAGTACTACTGTATGATAAAGTACTACGGTATGTTTCAAGAAGCACAAACTACTGTACAGCAATTTAGATAAACGTGTTCTCACCACCAGTCTCTGTATCCAAGCACGGTCGTTTAACCATTGAGCCGACAAATGGTGGACTGAATGCTGCTCTCTTGAGTAACTGTGAGGGTGCTGCCGAGCGTCTCATCGTCACCTGTAAGAAAATGTAAATACTGTACAATACAGTCACCTGTAGGGAAATGTAAATACAATACAGTACAGTCACCTGTAGGAAAATGTAAATACAATACAGTAATTCAAGTTATAATACAGATGCAATTATTGATATTACATATTTATTTATTATTTACTACTTAATTTGTTAAGTAACTCTATAATAGTGGAATTTAAAGTAGAGAAACTCACGGCTGGGTTACTTATGTTTTAAAAGCCATTGGTAAACTGTCTTGGATATGGTGATTTGTATCCACCTCACCTTACCTCGTCTTCCCTTATGAAAATAACAAAATGGATACAATTTATATCATACCCAGGATGATTTGCCAAAAGATTTTAAAACTTTACCTAACCTAACCGTACTCAAGATAAGACAGTCCAACTTAGTGATATACTGGGGACATGTATACTGGTTTAAGAATTAGAAAATGAGCTTTGTCAAAGTGCCTGTGTACAACTTGATATAGTACCCAAGATAAGTTATTATTTGATGTTACTAACTTCTCATGATTGCATATAGGTCACTTAGGTTCGCTAATATATACTTTACATGTGATTTATTAATTTTTTGTAATAGCTTAAAGTATGTACTTTCAGAGCACTGCTAAATTACTGAAGATCAAAAACATTTTGCAAGCGAAAACGACTTTTTCAAAGCCTATCATGAACATTATTTATGTATGAAACCTATGGTGTGCGAAAAGCCTGTGTACACTGTGAGCGTACCAGAATATATTTACCTGAGGGTCACTGAGGCTTCTGTCCCCAGAGGCCCACATCAAAAGGATATCAGCAGCAGCATATGCTAGATTGGCCAACATAAGAACAGCCTTTAGAAACTTGTGTAAGGAATCATTCAGGACCTTGTATGCCACCTACGTCAGACTAATCCTGGAGTATGCAGCTCCAACCTGGAGTCCATACCTAGTTGAATACAAGACAAAGTTAAGAGAAGATTCAAAGGCAGACCAGTCCCAGAACTGAGAGGTATGAGCTACGAGGAAAGGCTACGGCAGCTAAACCTCACACCCTGGAAGAGAGGAGTAAGGGGAGACATGATAACAGCCTAGAAAATTCTAAGGGGGAATTAACAGGAAGGACAAAGAAACTATTTAGCACAGGTGGAACACGAACAAGGGGACACAGGTGGAAACTTAGTACCCAGATGAGGCAGACACATTAGAAAGAGTTTTGTCGTGTCAGAGTAGTTGACAGATGGAATGCACTAGGCAGTGATGTGGTGGAGGCTGACTCACACAACTTCAAGTATAGCTATGATAGAGCCCAATGAGATCAGGAATCTGTACACCAAATGACTGACAGTCGAGAGCTGGGACTAAAGAGCCAGAGCTCAACCCCCACAAGCAAAACTAGGCGAGTTCAAACACACTAAAGGCCTCGACGAAGACAAGAAGCTGGCGGCTTGTCAAACGTTCTCCTCCATTTGCCCTGATAAAAAAATAACAGCTGAATTTTAAATCTACCACAGTTTTGGCCTTTACAGCATCGGCGGGTAGGCGGTTCCATGAGCTTAGGAATCATTTCCCTATGGGTGAAATATCTCGTGTTTTCAGTCCTACACTGTGGTCTGGGGTTGGTTGTTTTAGATTCAGCTACTGGGAACAACAGTTGCAAGTAGCACAGGCTATGGTGAGCCCGTAGTGGACTTACCTGGCACAGGAGCGGGGCTGGAACTCTTGGAGGGAAAAACCATTGCTCCTTGTTTGTGTATTACTATTATGTATATATGTCATATGGTTGTATCAATGTTGCCCCCCCCCCCCCCCCCCCCCCCCCCCCGGGCACACCACACGCCAGAGTAACCAACCAACCTTCAACTGCTTAGTTATGACAGTGTACTTGAAGATTGTTGTGTGAGGTGTTTGGTGTGGCTCAAGACGCCCGCCCTCCCTCCAGGGTTGCCAGATACAAATTGCTGAAAGTAGCGAGCTGACGGTCTAAAAGTAGCGAATTTGTAATAGGAGTAGCCCAATTTTTTGTTTTTTTTAACCTAAAAGGGGTACCACCTCTGGTGCAAGTGTAGGGACCCATAGCCTCGGAGAAGAACATAAAGAGTACCCAGAGAAGACCTTGTGGATCCTCACTGAACACTTATATTTTCTTCTCCTACCACCCCTATTCTTTTAGTATGTGTGTATATATATCTAACTTTATTTTAAAATTTCATTACATAAAGAGGATAATGCACAACCTGAAGCCCAAGTAAAACCCAGGAGCCCGACCAGTTGTGTAACCGGAGCCCGACCAGTTGTGTAACCGGAGCCCGACCAGTTGTGTAACTGGACCCCGACCAGTTGTGTAACTTGACCCCGACCAGTTGTGTAACTCGACCCCGACCAGTTGTGTAACCGCAAGCCTAGCATGAATGAATCGAACAACATCCGAAGCACAAACATACACGAACCAAAGCCCGACTGTACAACCCGAAGCTCAAGTGATACCCCCGAAGCCCGACCAGTTTTGTAACCGGAGCCCGACTAGTTGTGTAACCAGACCCTGACCAGTTGTGCAACCGTAAGCCTAGCAAGTATACATCTCATCCAACCCCCACAAAGCTAAACAGTCCCAGAGCACAACCAAACTCCATTCCTAGCTCGACCAAACAAAAATCTCATTAGCCCTACCTAAAATCCTCCACTTGCCCTAGACACCAACTATTGACCCATAGCAAACAATTGAACTATATACAAAAAACGAAACCCGGATTTCTAGCAAACATATAAACATAGAGCTTTAGCAAACAAACCTGGAGCACTAGTACACAAACAACCGCTGAAGCACAACCATGCACGAACCGAAGCCTGACCATGCACAACCCACAGCCCAAGTGACACCCCCGGAGCCCGACCAGTTATTTAACCGGAGCCCGACCAGTTGTGTAACCGAAGCTCAAGCAGTTGTGTAACCACAGCTACCTCATCCCTTTGTGTGTATTTTACCTCAATAAACTTATTTCAATTTCAATTTCAATTCAATCTAATCCAACCGAGCCCAATGCAGCCTAACCTTAATAACACAACCTAATACAGCCTAGCATAACAGTACATCCTGATTTAAAACAGAAAATGAGTTTAGGCGAATCGTCTCGTGTCAGTGTAACCAGAACCCGACCAGTTGTGTACCTATACTGACCTACCGATGATCTCACCGGTGCCTCCGTGGGCAGAAGAGCTCATTCGGGTGTCTGTCGACTTTTCCAAGCCTCCTCGTCGGAAGAGAGATTTAGAGGGTTTGGCCCCTTTAATTTTTGCAGACCTACGAGCCTCCTTATACTATGGATACCTGGAGGTTTACACGGCTGGGTCCCGCAAAGATCAGCCACCATCTACATCTGCGGCAGCATACTTTGCTCATTTTTCCTTCTGTCAGACGTGGAAACTCTCCCCTGCTCATTCGTGCCTGGCTAGGGAACTGTTTGCAATCTTACTAGCCTTACGACTCCTTCGACAAGTTTCAGGGCCCTCTGCAGTCGTTTTCTACGTGGACTCAGTTACAGCCCTACATCTCATATCATCTCGGCGTCCACGAGTCCATCGTCATACTGTGTCACAGATCCGTGGAGAACTGCTGTCATACTCTGGTACTCCGGGTTAGTCCATCTATCTCCAATGGGTTCCGTCACATGTCGGTAATAATGGCAATGAGGTGGCCGACGCAGCAGCAGGGATGGCCCATGCTCTCCATGACTACAAATGTGCCTCTAAACCTTTCTGAAATTCTCCCGCAACTCCGGGCGGCTTGCCTCGCGAGTTGGGAGGCAATGATGGAGCCAGCACTCAGGTCCTCCTCTCTGGCGGGTCTATGGAAGGATTCCACCCCGCGTCCATGGACTCGTCATCATTCTCGACTCCTCGACACTGCCATCACTCGTCTCCGGATTGGGCACACCTGCCAGGCCGCACATCTCCATCGTCTACGGCTGGTAGATTCCCCATACTGCTAGTGGTGTCCGACCCAGGAGGATACAGTGGAGCACCTTCTTCTTCACTGCCCTCGATTTCATGGCACTCGCGTCAGACTACAGAGTGCCGTTCGTAGGGTGAATATTACCCGCCTCACAGTTCCCGTTCTCCTTGACGGGGCAGGTGCGAGAGACGAAGACGTCCGTCATGACATCCTTCGCCATACCTTCCGCTTCATCAGTCATGTTCGTGGCCTGAAGAGACTGTAAAATCTGTGGCCTGGGGAGTTTGTAGGGTCTATGGCCTGAAGAGACTATAGGGACCCCATCCCTCCGCTATTTCCCGGTATCGGGCAGCCGGGGCGCATCCGATCCCACGATCGTCGTCGCCCCTAAATCAACACAACAACATATACTGACCTAGCAAACAAACACCTGCAGACGAGGAGTCTCAATAACGTGGCTGAAATATGTTGACCAAACCACACACTAGAAAGTGAAGGGACGACGACGTTTCGGTCCGTTCTGGACCATTCTCAAGTCGATTGTGAGAATGCACAATTGACTTGAGAATGGTCCAGGACGGACCGAAACGTCGTCGTCCCTTCACTTTTTAGTGTGTAGTTTGGTCAACAAACACCTCACCTAACCAGACAAACACCCCACTAACTCTACCAAGCACACTGAGAGCCCTACCAAAGTTGGGAGGGTCCACAGAAGAGAACGTGGTTGTAAGTATAGGTCCACAGACATGGGCCCCAGTGCCCATCATCTGGGTCGGGTGGCAACAGTGCATTGCTTTGCTCAGAGAGTATAATGCTGCTAACACAGCCCTGCCTTCAATAAGCAAACTTTCCAGGATTATTTAATTAGCTAAGATTTACTTGAATTTACCAGTCACTATCTCTCAGTGAGGATAGGAAGCCGACGGGTTGTCAAATCCGTCGGCTTGTCAAATCCGACTGCTGACGGGTTGTCAGCAGTCTCCGTGGTGTAGTGGTAAGACACTCGCCTGGCGTTCCGCGAGCGCTATGTCATGGGTTCGTATCCTGGCCGGGGAGGATTTACTGGGCGCAATTCCTTAACTGTAGCCTCTGTTTAACGCAACAGTAAAATGTGTACTTGGATGAAAAAACGATTCTTCGCGGCAGGGGATCGTATTCCAGGGACCATAGGATTAAGGACTTGCCCGAAACGCTACGCGTACTAGTGGCTGTACAAGAATGTAACAACTCTTGTATATATCTCAAAAAAAAAAAAAAAAAAAAAAAAAAAAAAAAAAAAAAAAAAAAAAAAAATGTCCCCTATTTGCCCTGGTGATTTTATCGTGCAATGTTTTGGCATTTACGGCTTCGGCGGGTATGCGTTTCCACAACGTTATAATTCTATGGGTGAAAACAAATATTTTCCATCCTTCAGTGTGGCTTGTTGAGCTCGAAACCGTTGCTCCTTGGTCGTCTTACATCTAGCCTTTTGAAGAAGTGTTCTGGGTCAATATCTTCCAAATTGTTCAGTAATTTAATTGTTTTGCCGAGAGCAGTCCTGTCATGTCTGGTCCCTGTGGCCCTCAACCGTTCCCGGTATGAAAGTCGACTTAGTTTGGGAAAGATTTTAGTCGCCCGGTGTTGAACTTTCTCCAAAACAGATATATCTTTCTGAAGATGAGGTCTCATTGCGTGGATATAATAATCAAGTGGAAGCACACCAGCAGAGATTTATACAGTTGTATATAACTACCTTTTCCTTCGTCAAAATTTCGTTTGACTATTCCAAAGGATTTGGTTTGCGTTTATAACTGCAGCTTCCACTTGTACAACTATCAGTGATTGGTGGATTCTGACTCCAAGATAATGTTGATGATTTGGTAGTTGTGCATTGTTATGACCCTCATGGGTGAAAAAAATCTGTTTTCTAAGTTGTGGCTTGTTGAACCTGAAATCGTTGTTCCTTGTTTGTAATTGATTGATGAAGATTAAGCCACCAATGAGGTGGCACGGCCATAAACAGCCCGTAACCTAGTTTGCGTTGTTTTAGATTCAGCTACACTGAACTAAAAGTTCCAAGCAGCACGAGCTATTGAGAGCCCGTAGTGGACTTGGCACAGAAGCGGGGCTGTAACCGCTTATTTGTGATCGATTGATGAAGATTAAGCCACCTAAGAGGTGGCATGCGCATGAATAGCCCGTAAGTGGAAGATTTTTTTTGGAGTGAATGTGATCTTTGGTCGTGAGAGGATATATATACTGCGTCCTGTGCTCGCATTTTACACCATCTGGTCACCATTTGGTCCGGGAGACATATGTCACGCAGGGTGCAGTCGCGCCTCCACAGATCTCCCGTATCAGCTCTTGATACTGGTAATGGCTCAAAAGGGCCACCACTTACGGGCTATTCATGCCCGTGCCACCTCTTGGGTAGCTTAATCTTCATCAATCAATCAATCGCATTTAAATCGCCAGTCTGTGGCTGCTATCGCGGGGTGCTTGTTTGTGTTGCATCTGACCATAAATAATCATCATTGAGTTTCTTAACATTAATAGCCCAAATTAGCCTATCTTGCTTTTAAATTAGCCCAAAAAAGTAGCAAGTAGCGAAATTTAAAAAATTGGGAGCGCGGGGCACTCAAAAGTAGCCCAATTCGCTACTTGTAGCCCAATCTGGCAACACTGCCTCCCTCACATATATACATTTTCTTCTGTCCTCCTGTCTATGGAATTCAATTTCAATTTCTTTCTTTATTATGCACCCCATACCCATCCCGTGGGCGGTGGTGTAAAGGATTACAGAGGCACATAATCGGTGCTATGGAGCTATATTAGATTTGCTATATTCCTCCTGTATTTTTGAGTGTATTAGTGGCTAGTTGTAATGCAGCTAACTCTATGTAATTACCCAAGTGTAGTTAGATGATAAGAGCTATGCTCCTGGTATTCCGTCTTCCCAGTACTCTGTCATATGACACTGAAACTGACAGCGTCCACTGCCTTCTCACTTAACTTGTTCCAATCATCTACTCACCTAGTAGATGGTTGGAACTACCACAACACCTCACCTACTTCAGCTTTTTAGTCCCACCTCTAAACAAATTGTAGTGTTACACTAGTAGTCTATTTAGATCTGCTGATTTTGTATGCCTTGCAAGGTGCTCCAGTGCAACCTGTTGACATTTGAATTGAGCCATAGTCCTCATGGCTGTCATGAAGTGTGTATAAAGAAATCAAGTGTCAAGAGTTGTAGCTTTTTTCCTTGGAGAAGCACTAGATTGTTGTTACTATTTTTGCTGATGGAAATGCACGACACTTGTATTAACATGGTACAGATAATGGAGTATCATTAACTGGTAAACAATGCTAAGAGGAATCTTCAATCTGATGAGGGTTGACAGCACTTCTATTCAAGCATTTGTACACAGGCTGCCTACTGGTGCAGTGGCAGCACTTAATGGCCGGCCAACAGTATCAGTTGGTCTCTAAGCAGTGCTGGTCATGTTGAATCTTTCATTATCTTGGTAGAGAAGAGCCTTGTTCAGCTGCATAATTTTCTTATATGATGGAGTTTTAGCTCCTCCCGTCTGTTCATGATTCTTGTGCATCCAGGGACACCAAAAATATTATGCTCATGGCTTCATTTTGAATTCTTTCTAATCCTGGGGGATTTTATAAGCTGTAAGGCATCATAGTCAATTTGAAACCTAATGGACATCTTGTTGAACAATTCTGGCATATTTGACACTGGGAGCAGGTCTGCCAGTATGTCTCCTCTGTGTTTTTACAGGTTTTAGTCTCTATTTTTAGCCTAGGATATAATTAACAGAAACTTTCTCTCTTAATACCCACACTGAGATATTTGTATTACCAGCATTTTGCAATGTGCTGATTACATGTGATAAAATCTTTGGAATTGATATAAAAACAGAGTATTTTGATGTATAATTTATACTACACAGTTTTTTACATGTGTGTCAATTACACTTCCATCTGCATTACAAAATGTGAATATTTAGAAATAGTTTGCCAGACCTTATAAATGTACTGTACTCTTGACTTCAATAATGTCTTAACTACTGTACAACTGAATAATACAGTATGATATTTCCCTTATGATGACTATACAATTTACGAGGTAACGAGTGCACAATTTTATGAGATAACGAGTGCACAAGTTTCGACTCATTGTATACCTCTTTATAGATAAATATATTAAATTTCAATATATACACTTACAGGTAATGCAGGGTTGGCAATAACAGAGATTCCTTTCATAAAATAGTTTTGAAATTACATGTATAAAATAAATTCAAAATTTTGTCTACAGTATATTTGTCAATATAAGAAGCAGTTGTTTTTACTCTAATAATTCTATTAACAAGTGACAGTAGATTTAACTAATATAATATTTATATATATAATATTCAAATTTTTATTATATTAATTAAGATATTATGACTAGGATCTCAAATTTATTAAGCTTATGCAACAGCTTCAATATACTATGATACTGTATACACAATTATAAATTCCTAAAATTTTCAGTATACAGTACTTTCATCTTAAAAAAAAAAATGCACTGCAAAAGTCACTTAATACTTAAATACAGTTTCTCAATGCATGACTTGCTCATAATGATGACAGTGCATGACTGCAGTAATATTGATATTATATATAATGTCTTGTACAGTCTAGGACCATAGTTAAAACAAAATCTGATCATATGCAGCTACACACAAAGAAAAAAGATGACTATCAAATTGACTCAATATTCACTAAATAGATGTAGAATTTTCCTAAAATATTTTTTTTTATCTAAACAACTAGGCTAAATACATTTCTTCACAATCCTTGCTGGAAGGTCTCCCTGTACACCCAGCAGAATACTCATCACATTATTGCACACAATTCCTTATTGTTCAATATAATGAAAATAACTTCTTTTTACACAGTCTGTTTCTGTGATGCTGTCACTCATATTCACAAAGAACTTTCACTGATCTTTCCACTGTGTGGTAATCTTTCTCTCACTGCCTCTACTTGGCTAATGTACAGGGAACAATAAATGTCTACTTTTTTCAACACTGATATCACTATTTTTGCCATAAGACATATAAAGATGGCTAGGGAAGAGAGGGGGATGAGATTACTCCCATGCAGTTACAATCAGTATCTTACAAAAGTTGCATTTGCTATAGCTTACATGCACTTAAATCAAATATGTTACACTGTGTTCTACTTTTATTTTAAGTGTGTCCACACCATGGGTCACGCATCAGTAGCAGTCACACTTTGTCATACTCAACAGCCTATCAGAGCACTGTTGGCTACAGTTTTCGACGCGTTCACTAGTGTTCCAGAAAATAGGCAGTGGCGTTTTCTTACGTGTTCGAAAGTGTATCATGATGTAACTGGTCACATTTCCATGTTCAGCAAAGGTTCCATACCAAGTTGGTCACACTTTATAGCAATGTTGTGTTGATTTGTTACACAACACATAGCTGTTCACACTTCATAATACAATATGGTCAAGCATTCCACACCGTGTTGGTCACACCTCATAATGTGTTACACATCACAATTTGCAAAACTTTTTAATGTGTTTCTCAGCACAGTTGGCCATACCTTGTAATGTGTTCTGCAGCACAGTTGGCCACATTTTGCACTGTTTTCTGTAACACAGTTGGTCACATTTTGTACTGTATACTGCAGCACAGTTGGCCACACATTGCACTGTGTTCTACAACATGGCCACACTTCATAATGTCCCATAGCACAGTTGGTTACACTTCATAATATGTTCTGCAGCACAGTTAACGCACTTTGCAATGTTTAATATTGTACATGTTTTAACAAAATTTCAGATATTCTGTGAGACATCTTTTTCATTTCACTTTGACAACATCATGATAACCATTTTTAAATGCACTTTTGTAACATTACCATACAATGTATTTAGTTTCAAATTCAAATATTATTGTATTATGAATCATGATAATTAGTGAAGTTACAGAAAATTAGCAAGGCAATCTCAGTTTTTGGGGGATTTGTACTTTACGTAGGAATATAACAATTACTGAATTTTTTCTAAACAAATGAGTTAATTAGTAAATTCTGCAATCTTCTTCACAACATTGACATCATTAAGAATGAGTTTAATGAGAGCACGTGCTTGAAGAGTTGCCGGATCACGTTCTTCACTGTCCTCCTCACCATCGTCATCTGCAGTGTCTGCGCACAGGCCCATTTCTGCTTCAAGCACTACAAATATTTGAGAAAATACCATTAATCTTACATAACTAATCAATCAGTAAAAACATAAGTACAGTAAACAAGGTCAGTGGGTTCAAATGTACATAGGAAACCTACACAATTGGGGTAGAGTTTCAAGTAAGAAATATAAAAATATATTAATGATAATTCATAACTAATATGTACTGTACTTAATGATTAGGCAATATCACAATAATGTATATACCTGGATTGTACCTAAATATATGAATGAATAGCTTATTTTTTCACTGCTAAATGAAGGCAGTTTTTGCAAGTTTCATTCCATATCAATTCTATATTGCAATATAAACAAATATCAAAAGAAAGCCATATAACCATACCTTCAAGCTGCTTTTCGATCTGATCAAAGCGTTTTGTAATGTTGGTTTGGACAATCTGCACGTGTTCCAGGAGATTCAGTTTACAGTTGACTGGCTCAATTCTTTCTGTTTCAGGAATTATGGGGGCAGGCACTGTAACAAAAACTTATTGTTCTTACCATTATTTTCTTTATATATACCATATCAAATAACCCAGGGTTGCTAATTACAAGCTTAAGTTGAAAGAAAATATGGCACTGAGAGAATTTAAATGATAAATTTTTAGTGATCCCATGGTTACTTCTCTTTCCAAGATCTGGGTCCACCCAGGACTCTGACCACACAACACATTTAAAATAATTATTAAAAAAAAGGCCCCCCCCCCCCCACACACACACACAACAGACTGCAACTTTTTGTCCCACAATGACAATTAACTCTGCAAATGGTCTTGACTCATAGTTCATGGGTGGGGAGACAGTAGAGAAGACTATCTCAATTCACCACCAAAAGAGGTTACTCGCTAAAAGACAAAAGAGCAGAATAATCCACTCAAAACCTCCTAAAAGCGATCACTGGAATCATGAGGAAAGCCAGTACTGTATTATTTTACAGCTCAAATATATAAACACATTACCATTATATTATATTATGGAAAATAACGTCTAAATATATTATATTTCAAAATCTCGTGAGAGTACTTTTCAAGATCAGGTTACTTGTTAAAGATTTTTAGTTCTCAAATGTCTAGCTAGCACTACTTAAAGTGGTTGTTAGGTATCATTCTAAAAATTTAATCAGATGGCAACATACCTGGCTGAACAATGCTGCTGGTTGGCACATGAGGAGCAAGAGCTGAGCTAGCTTGAGTTGCAAGCTGCTCGAGTTCAGTATGTGAGGAAAGTAGAGCTGCGAGGTCACTACCACCTGGCATACCTCCCTCTCCTGCTGCCCCTAACCCTCCAAGATCAAGAGCAAGATCACCATCATCATCCAGCTGAGTGTCGTTATCATCCAAGGCATCTTCTGTTCCATCCATATCATCTGGTTGAGTCAAGTCTGTTGAGCCCATATCTGAAGGCTGATGAAGCTCTACGGTTTCAAGAGTTTTTAACGGGTTTTCAACTTTCAACTCTCTCTGTTTTGTGTCATCTAGCTCCTTACCCTCTAACACTTCCTCTTCTGTCAGTGCCTTCACTTGCGTTTCCCCATCTTCCATAGAGTGAGCATTCTTAACTGTATCTTGAGCATCACTCAAATTTTGTTTAGAGTCTTTATTTTTCTCTGAGATATAAGGATGTTTGTGAGGATCACTCATTACTTCAGGATGAGTATTAGGATCTTTATCATTTTCATTTTCTCCCTTTACCTTATTTTCAGGTAAATCCTTTATATCAGTAATTGTCGATTTAATCGTTTCATGAATATCTTCCTCAGCCTTTTCCTCTTTGTGTGTTGACTTGATTTCTGTTTCACCTATGTTAATGTCTGCATAACTTTGTCCAACACTTGGTTCATTATTTTCTTCCAGCATAGTTAGTTTAGCATTACTTTTTTCTTTAACCACTATACTGACATCCTTGCTTTCTCTCTGATTTTCTCCACATTTTCCTTCAGTTTGAGTTGTCTGTGTTTCATCACATTCAGATTCAATGTTTTCTTCAAGCTTTTTTGCTATGGAAGGGTTCAAATCAACCCTTTTTTCTGTCTTGAAAATGACTTCCCTTTTTATCTCTTCTACTTGTGAATCCATTTCCTCACAAGCACAGTCTTCTGGGTGGGCACTGTCATCGATATATAAATCTTCTTGAGAAGCTTCTTCTATGCTCACACTTTTAACTAATGCTGGCTTTTGAGAGTATGGCTCAGGAGGCACAGCTGATTGATCTTCATGTAATGGTGTTGCTTTTGCTGTATCTACAACGGTTACTTGATCACTTTCTGTCGTTCGTTCTCCTTTATCGGTTATCTTGCTGTCTTCTATTTTCTTATTACTCTCTAAATCATCAAGTTTTTTAGTGGATTTTGAGTCAGTTTTAGTTTCTTGTTGTAATTCTGTTGACTGTAAATTAGGCTGCAAAGTTCCTTTAGTATTAGTGAGATTTTCATCCTCGCCAACAGTAACAGACGCATCTAAACTTTCTATCTGGGGTTCATCATTATTTGTATTGTCTTTCATCAGTGTTACATTTGTCTCTGACCTAGGTACACTTTCTATATCAGATTTATCACAGAGAACATTTGACATATCTTTGTGCTCATCCATTTCCATAGATTGCTGAGAATCATCAATAGCAGCAACATCATTTACTTTATTGCTAACACTAAACTCTTCTTGTTTGATTTCTAATACTTCATGATCTGTTGATAAATGTTTCTTAGTATCATACACCTTTGATGAAACAGTAGTCTCAGATGAACTATTGTTTTCCATGGCATTATCCTCTTCAATCACTTCATCTTTAATTTGAAGCTTATAATTAATTGGCTTCATGTCATTATCATTTGGCTCCTTCTGAAGTAAACTACCATTTTCTGCTTTTTGGATATCTGTCTGGGTAGAAAGCTGGTCCATATTCATAATTTGTCCAGTTACATCCCAAACTCCTGAGGGGTGAGATTTCACACTTTGCTTCACAGGAGAGCTGGCATTTGTAGTGTCTGGTGCACCAGAACTCTCGAGCTCTCCAGTCACGAGGTTGGCATCTGTCATCAATGAGTTAGAACCATCTTGTTCTACTATGTTCATTAAGTCATGCAGAGGAACCACAGCATCCGCAGGAGATGATACTTTGTCTTGGTCACTGGTTTCCTCTCTCTCATCCCACTTCTTGTGCCACATGACAAACTTGGGATGATCTGCCTCCCTGAAACATTTTTTCCATAAATTTTATATCTTGACATTTATAACATAACTTTAAATAGAAAGTTGCAGCTCAACATCCACTTACTGTACAGTAATGTAATACTGTACATCATTTATGTACACTCTACTGATACAATGGAAATTTACTTGAACAGAACCCAATCCCACAGAAGATTGGATGGATTATTCAGAATGATTCTATTCCAGTCAAAAGATCTGTATAATGGAAAATTAGCAGATTTCCTATTTAGTAAATCCAGTGATATGGGGGTATTGGCCCTAGAAATCCTGGGTATTCACCAAGAGATCCAGCATACTTGGCAGGGCACCCAGGGTACTTAGCTGGAAATCTAGATTACTCACCTGGTGATCCGAGGAACTCACCTAGTGATCTGGAGTACTCACCCAGAGGTTCAAGGTACACGCTCAGAGATCTGAAGAGTAAAAGACCTCCCAGAATCCCTTCCAGGAATATTCCAGGTATACTTACTCTGTAATATGGGGGTACTCACCTGGTGCTCCAGGGTACTTAGTAAGCCAGGGAACTCACCCAAGGAGCCAAGTGTACTGCTGGAAGGACAAAGTACTCACTAGATGAGCCAAAGTACATGTCTGATGAATTGTGGTACTCATCTAGTGATCTTATATACACAGCTGGTGACCTGGAACACTTGCCTTGTTCCAGAGGATCCAAGCTCTGAATTGAGTACGGAAGCCCTTGCAATCCAACCAGCAAAGATCAAGGTAAACAAATTTCTTGGAAGCAAAGGAAACTGGCAATTTCGCACTCGACAAAGCTTCGGTGCAATACTTAACAGTTTATTTGACTTAATTTATTACTTAGAGGTTTTCAAGTGAAAAAGAATGAACCTTCTAATGGTCATTCTGGGCTAAAGTGACAAATCTTCAGTCTTTATTCCTTCTATTCTGGCCTGAAAAGATACCCACCGTGTGGAAGATGGAAAGGTCGCACTGGCTCCAGCCTACAGTTCACAATGTCTTGGGAAGTGGGATATTGCCAAAAGAAGCGAATGGTGTCTTCAGCTTAGACACACAAACGCTGAGATCTGATCCAACAGACTGAATCCAGAACGAATCATTACATTCAAACCAATTTGCACTGTACAGTATTACAGAAGTAAATTATAAGCTTACTTAGCTATGTGAAGTTTAAGTCTGAGAGAATGGAGAACTTGTGACAGCTGTAGCACATTGGCTGTCAATTCATGGCCTCGTCGAACACAAGCCTCCAGCCGAGCATCACCACGGGTGCGAGAAAATGAGAATCTGCAATACAATTATGCAGTAAATATATTACACTGTGAAATTTATGTAAATAAGAAAATTATAAAATACATTGGGCAAGCTAATAGTTTGGCACTGATAATTATAGAGCTATAAAGTAAAATCTAGATTTTATGCAGGGATTTTTATTGTTCACATCTTTGCTTCTGACAAACCCAAAACTGGCCTATGTATCTGAGCAAGCTATTATCGCTATCTTGAACGCTGCTGTGCCTGACCTTGCTGTGGATGCAGCTTTCCTTAGTATGATTAAGATGTTTTTGAATCCCAATGGTAACTCTTGCTGCCTCCATCAGTCTGCCTGTTGGGTTCAAGAGCACCTCTCATACCACTTTTGGGTTTCTGGGCCATTTGCTCTGAAAATGGCTAGTAAACTGGCCAAAATACGTTTTTGGCTCGTAAATGAGGTGAGTGGTAGGCAAGAACCAAGAGTGACCTGGTCTGTCATTTAGCGGCAGTTGGGCACATTACAGCTGGGGTATTTACACCATGGCAATGATTGTTTACCTTGTTTTCCTCCAGGCTTCTATTTTCATTAAAATATTTCCTTGTTTTTGATGCACTTATACTTTCTGGTTTCTTGGTTTAGGGTGGGTCTCTAAACTTTCCTCGCCTAGAAGAGAAACACAGATTCTGGTGGTGACTCCTGGTAAGCTAGAGTAGTTCTCAGAAACCTGGTATGATTTTATAAGGATTGACAACCACAATGCTATAATTAAGGGTAGCTACCAAGTGCCCTCCTTTTAAGTAAAGTGTGACTGTTGGCTTCCTCTGTTTACACTATTGGTGGTGGCAGCCAGCCAGAAAAAGTTACTGGTTGTAGGAGTACAGTACTAGAGCAAGCTTCAGGCTGCATTTAGAGTTGTCCAGTGCCTATTTTTTCTGTTTTGGCTTAGAATGAGTACAATGTACAGTATTTAGAAAAGATCCCTGCAGGAACTGGAGATGGATAGTTGCACTGGCCCAGGATGGAGTTCCAAATGTCCCAGGTATGGATATTGCTTAACTGATTGACTTAATGGCCTCTGCCCAGAAAAGAACTTGCAATATTTCAATTTACTTAAAATAATTTATACAAAATTTCCATATAACTAGCCTTTACCTTAACACTTTCCCTGCCTCGGCTGTGATCCGCCGCCCCCCTTAAGGGTGCGAGTGAATGAGCCGAGCGGTGTGCGTGAACTTTCCATCATCCACAAATGTTTATTCTCTTTTCAGCTTTCTGACCTCATTTTTCGTGCAACGTCGTTCAATTTGGTCTCAAATTGTTCACAATAGAATGCTGCGAAGGGATATCTGCATATAAGAACATATAAGTCTCACTTTCCTATACTTTAGACCTGCCGTACACTACAAGGTAGCCCGAGCATTGCCTGAGAGCTCGCCACGCCAATGTTTATTCTCTTCGGCTTTCTCACCTCAATTTCCGTGCTACAACGTTCAATTTGGTATCAAATTGAATGCAATTGAATGCTGTAAAGGGATATTTGCCTTTAAGAACATATAAGTCTTACTTATCTATACTTTTAACAAAACTCAATAACTTTTCCCTTCATATGTGTTTCTTTCAATGCTTTCATCTGCCTCTGATCTTGATCAGTATCCATCTGGAAGTCAATTTGCAGTGTTTATAAAGTCGGTAACAACAAATACCCAAGATAAAATAACTGGAATGAGGAAACTTTTTGACTCGAGGGGGAGGCCGCAGCTGTCACAAGCGAGGTCGTGAGAACTGTGAGCCTCCAGCGTGGGTGGGCACCCACATGGTTGGGTCAGGATGCCATGTGGGGTATACAAAGAATGGGCAGAAGTTGGTGCACATTTTAAAACAAGTCCCATAGTATTTGGACAATACATGGAATTTCTACAATTTTCTTAATTTAATGACACCGTTTGCATCATTGGGCATACTCCGTACAGTATTTTGGTTACGTAACGGAATAGACGTCATCAGGCAGCGAAAGTGTTAAGACAAATACCAAGTGTGATGACTTAATTTGTCTCACACTTGAATATGTACTCTTAAGAAATAAGGATTTAGATAAATATTTAAAAAAAAAAAAGATAACTCTTCCAATACTTTGCCTCTAAATTAACGTACTGAAAGCTCACAATGCAAACCTTATGCATTTTATCTGATACAGTAAGATTCTTACTGCCATTTCCATTTCATTCTCTTGCATTTTAAAAACTTATTGTGTTTCAATTACTCATAGTTATACTTTGTTAACATTTCTCCTTTCACGCACTGTGTAAAATTCTTCTTGGTAAGTCGCTAATAAATCCCTAGTTTAAAAATAACCAATGACGTTTGGCTATTTTTTATTTTATTTTATTATTTTACTATGGCTTTTCAAGCTTCTGTTCTCATCTTACAATTAATTTATTTACATATTCTTATTCTTACCTTGGTAGGCGACCTTCCTTAAGCCAGTCTTGGTGGTGCCTAAACTTATTAGAGGATCGTTCTAGTTTAGGATGGTCACAGAGTGAGCAGATGTACTTGTCTGGTACTTGATCTTCTCCAACTATATTGTAGCAGGCACCGTGTTGCCAGCAAAGGCACACATCACACTAGAGGATTGTAAACAGAATTAAGAGACTATACTCTATAGAAAATATTACAAATCGTGAATACTGGTTATTTTCCAATAATAAACATTATGGTGCATGACTATGCTTAAACATGTTAATTAAAATCTTAATAGATGAGAGGTGAGTCAATATAAATAAATAAATAAGAATCCACCTGCAACATGAGTCCTTCTTCCTCAGTAGAACCACAACCGCAGTTAATGATCTCTGCTGAGGTCTCTTGGACCGATGCATTCTCTGCTCCCTCAGCCCATGTGTCAGTAGTGTCTTCTTCAACTTCCAGGTTACTTGTTTCTAAATGAGAGGGCAAACATTTAAAGTTAAATACAATAAATCTTAAATGTAAGACAATTATGGTAGGATCTCTATCAAACACAATACTTATTTCAAGTCTATAGATTAAAGTATTCCTAACCTAGCCAATATATTTTACTTTTTTTTTTTTGTTTTACCTTCAGAGCAATGAACCTTCTTGACAGGAGTAGTTGATACAGTGGCTTCAGGTGCAAAAGTATCTGCAAGCATTTAGAACATAGATGAGAGTGCACACTTAATATACTTAAAACCATATTACTTATACAGTACATTTACATTCATGACTAACAGGTACAGTGGGCTTCATAAACAATCTTAAATTACACCATTCATTCCCAAAGCTTCCTCTCCATGAAGAAATAAATAAAGGTTTAAAAATCAAGCACTGATGTAATGAAATGTCCTCTTCTGCACAGCCTCAGTAACTTCCTGATGTATTGACTTTGGTACCACAAAACTACCAAGCCTGTGGATTTGTGCTGGCTTACCTAACAGCAGGGCTAGAATCTATTGTGCTCCTAAAAGCGAGGAAGAGTATAGGGCTCTGATATTGACCCCAAAACATGTACAACTGCCAAAAAATTACAGGCAAAACAAAAGCAAGATATGTATCTTATTCACCACCCAAATGGAATCCCATAACTGTGCAAGGCGCACCTATAAACAAGGCATAACCAAGCATAAATATTCATTTTTCTAAGCAATTAATTTCCATCAACAGGTGTCATACAAGGACCAAGTCCCAAACACTTCCTGTACAAACATGAAAATGGCTTTGGAGCATATTATACACCAGTAATTGTGAGAGCTCTAATTTCAACAATATATTTAAGAATCAACATTAGTCATGCCATTTTATAAAAAAATTAAATTCTTCAGGAACTGTTTTCATATTAGGTGAAACAGCTGAAAGCATTTGGTGAACACTACATGCTGACTAAGTGTAACAGTTATTAACTATTAAAAAAAATAAGCACATCAAATCAACATTATCTTGCAAGAGTACTAAGTGTGATTTGCACTAACAAGGCCACTGAATCAGGCTATATATATATCAATAAAAGCAAAACATATGATCACAGCACAGGCCAGCATAATCCTAAGCTCAATGCACACTAGTTCAGATAAAACGGCCAAATTTTAGGTGAATTTTAATTTCACAATTAAAAACATAACACAAATTCACATGATAACTTAAGTGAGAATATTACATCCTCAGGAACCTGGCACGAGAATCATTAACACTTTGGTCGGGCCGGTGGGCCACCTGCATTGCACTGCTAGGTAGGTCAGGCGTTGCTGGTGAGCACACAACCCAATGTTAAACTCCTTCACTCACAATGTTTATACAGTACTTAATAATAAGAATAAGCAAGAATTAATGAATGACGGCGTTGACGTCATGCCCCGAACTGCATGTATTGTTTCGATGACTCTGAGAGCGTTATCGTCCGTTGTTAAATTAATATAGAATACCAGTAGAGAAAAAACGTGAAGGACTTTGCCCTCATCTTTCCTAGGTTCTGTAGTCCTTGTATTCAAGTAGAGAGAAATTTAATGAATTTAGTTGCACCTGGGATTAATGTACAGGGTGTATCTGCATTTATTTCATGTGTAGCCAACATGCACGAGGAAGATTACATACTAATGCCATGGCCTTCCATAATAAAATGGACAAATTTTCATGTATGCTGGATCAGTGAGACTTTGATGGTTATGTTGGCTTACAATCTACAAGCTGCAATGATCTAGCTGATATGGCAAGCAGTCATGAAGAAAGCCTAGTCTAGCCAAGGGTTACAAGAACAGGATCACTCCTGAAATTATCTTCAGCTTCACTTAAGAAGAGTGCAGTGATAATGTGCTTTACATCAATATTCATAGCAAAATGCTTCTTGGCTGATGCATAATTATGAAAGCTTTGCCTAAGAAAGGGACTAACTTCTGCCAGCAATAAAGAGCAGAATGATTCACACTTTAGTTTGAAATACAATTTTCTGCCCTGACTTCAAGTAAAACAAGTCCAAAAATACAATAACGGACTTCTTAACTAAGGTAAATAAAAATAAAGGATTAAAACACAATTAAGCATAGGAATAACATGAAGCAGATGCTCTAAGAACAATTGAGATGGCAAGAAAGATTTTTAATGTCATACCATTTGTGGCTGAAATATTAATTTTGGGTGTAGCTGATCCTTTGCGTTTGCTGTACCGGTACTTGGTAACTGCCTTAGTTTCCTGCATGTCATCTTCACTCATACTTTCTGAAGGAACTGTTAAAATATGTTAGGTCAGATAAAACCAGCATTGAATGTAATGAAACATTGATTTCTGGGTGAGTCCCATTGGCTCCCTGAAGCTATCTGAATTGTTAAGTGCTATTTTAGTCTGGGGTCATTAGTCACAGGAGTTCTTATGCCTACCGGGAACCACGAGCCAGAACCTGGTCCCTTCAGAGAGGCACAGGGAGGAATGGCCTACTTTACATTTAAAGTAAGTCATAATTGCCTTCGACTGGGGAAGTACCCAGAGAGGTAGGTGAATCAAAACAGACCACTGTCTGGTTAACCTGTGCAATCTACATCCCAAAAGATCAAAATAACTTCCCTAGAAAGTAACCAAGCAAACAATCTTTCATGCGACTAGCACTTCCATTTATTAGCGCTACCCCCTTACCCCCCTCCTCATAGGAAGGGAGGGGGAGTAAGTAAGTAATTATCAAAAGAAAGCACCAAACAGGAGGAAGGGAAATTGGCTTACTGGAGCTGGCAGCCCACCGTTCCGGTTCTTAAACTGATGTGCGGGTGGTCACCTAGGGTAACCTTCTCTAGGTGCTCTGTGTCAGGGCTATCTTCCCTGGGGCATTCAGGAATCTCTCCTCATTATTTAAGGATTTCATCCCCAAAGTCCTTCTATCCTTTCCAAATCCTTTCGGGATTTCATGGCCGAAACCCTCAGACCAGTTGGAACTAGAATCAGGGCTAAGGGAGGAGCAGGGCAAACCACACCCACCTGAGAAGGAAGCGGGGGCGCAAACAGAACCAAGGTTGAAGCGACCAACACCTCCAAAACCTGGAAACCTGGGCCCTAAAATTCAAACGGGGCAGCTCCGGGGCCTTCAACCGGGCAATCAACCTGACACATTGCAAGGAGAAGCGAGCTCACAACGCCGCAGCCGCCTGAATCCTCTCAGCCGCAGATGAGGAAAGGTAAACTGAAGCACAAGCAGGGAACAAGTTCCACAAGACTCCGGATAGTAGGTGTCACCGACCCAACAGGCAGCATGGGGAAGGCAGAAGGGGTGATTGTCTCCCTGTTATGCTAACGAACGGAGAGGTACTAGTGAGCGTGGTTCGCCCAGCCTTCAGCATGGGGAAGGTAGAAGGGGTGATTGTCTCCCTGTTATGCTAACGAACGGAGAGGTACTAGTGAGGACAAGGTTTAGTTTCTTTTCTTTCGGCAGGAGTTTCTTGGAGCTTTCAGGCCATAGGTAGCAATTTTACCAGCTAGTAGTTTGTTTTAGTTCACCTATCTTTCTGGGTAAGTGTCCTGGTCAATGGCAAAATATAACATACTTTAAATGTAAATTGCTCATAAGCCATTGTACCACATCTTTTTTTCTCCACATCCATTTCCCCAGGATGTGTGTTTTACTTATTATAATTGTCATTATAACTTAAGCACCCTCACTCAATTCCTTTCTTTTGCTATCATGTTAACAGCATACAACTTAGCTTGAATTTCCTAGGGATACATAATTTGTTTTTTTTTAGTATATATGAAAATGAAAATTAGTTAGTCTCTTAGTCTTACACAACCCTTTATTTACTATACTTACATTTATGCCCACACCTAAGTTGAAAAAATAAATTGTTATATTAGGCCTTAGATGCTATGGAAGACAAGCAAAACACTGATGTAATATACACAAATTTTGTGAAAGCTTTTGATAAATATGACTAATGGTATTATTGCACACAAAGTATGCACAGAATGATTTACTGACAAAGTTGAGAGATGGATCTTTAACTTCCTAATGAACAAAACCCAGAATATAATAGTCAGCAAAGTAAAATCCTGATCAATTCCCCAAGGTACTACTGTGTTTGCTCCAGTTGTTTTTCTCATCCTTATATCAGAAATAGATAAGGATAAAAACTATAACACTATATCATTCTTTGCAGATGACACTAGGGTTTTCATGAGAAGACAATATAGAGGACATAGGAAACCTCCAAAATGATGTTAATTAGGTCTTTTAATGGAACACAGATAATAACACAATGTTTAATGAAGATAAATTCCAGCTACTGCGCTATGGAAAATTTAAATATAAGAACAGAAACCACATATAAAATGCAGTCAAATCACACTATTGAAGCAATATATATAGTAAAAGATTTGGGAGTACAGCAATCATATCAGAAGACAATACTTTTAAAGAGCACAATAAAGTAGTGGTCACAACTGCAAGAAAAATGACAAATTGGATAACAAGAACCTTTCAAACAAGTGATGCCTTGTCAATGATAATACTCTTTAAGACACTAGTGTTCTTTCTCTACAGTAGTAAGTTGTTACACAATAACAGCCATTTTCATAGCTGGAGACATTGCTGGCCTGGAAACATGTAAAGATCTTTTACTGTCTGAATCCACTCAATAAAACATCTAAGTTATTGAGACTGCTTAAAAATATTAAATCTGTACCCTCTAGAGTACTCTCAATTATCAGGGCAGGCGAGAGAGATACATAATAATTTAAACTTGGAAAAATTAGAGGGACTGCTTCCATATCTGTACATAGAAATAACTCCTCATGAGACCAGGAGGCACGGAAGGAAGTGCAAAATAGCCCCGTTGAAAAGCAAAAGTGCAATAGGTATGCTGAAAGGGAACTCTATCAACATCAAGGGGCCCCAACACATTTTCAGTACTCTCCCTCCACACATAAAGTGAATAATTAACCGACCTCTCATGGTGTTCAAGAGAAAGAACTTGATAAACACCTCCAAAAATTATCTGATCAACTGGGCTGCGATTCATACATCAGGTTGTGAGCAGCTGCATCCAACAGCCTGGTTGACCAGACCACCAACTAGGAGGCCTGGTTAGAGACAGGGCCATGGGGACATTGATCTCCAAAATCAACAATGTGTAGATAACAGGTAGAAACAAACCTGACTTTCTTTTTTTTCCTTTTGAGTCTCCTCTTGTTTTTCTTTTCTCTTTCCTGTCTTTCTTTTTTTGTACTATCTCTCCTTCACAAGGCACATAATCCGGATCTTCGGGCTCAACATCCCGAACTAACGGAGTATCCTCCTCAAGGTCGTCTACGTAGTCATCTATTTCTTCTTTGATATCCAATTCATCTTCAGAGGTGGTTTTTGTCTAAAATGTATTAAATTGATTACATTACTCTTTTGGACTTACCAAATTAAATACAATACTGTAAGAGCTCAGCAATTCAGATTTTGGTAACCCTAATCTCTGAGTAATCCGAATAAATTCACATTCAAGTTTTTAACTTCTATTGACCTTTTAACCTGAATAGCAATTTGAATTAAAAGGTTATACGAAATGAGAAACCCAGATAAATTTGAGTTTGCTTAACTTGTCAACTTAAATAGAAATTTGGGTTACTGGCATTTCTGCCAAACAAGAAACCCAAATAAACTGAATTAGTTATTTTTTGGGGGAAAAATTTCATGCAAAGATGTTGGCTAAATCAGATGGAGGTGGGCCCCATATGATTCAGATTACCGAGCATAGACAGTACTGGTAGTTATCAATATTTTTTGCAAGTCCAAATGCATTATTTCAACTTTCAACAGTAATATACAAGCTGTATAATATGTAAATTTGTATGACATTCTAATCAGTTGGTTCAGATTACATCTGGTTTTCAATATGCACATGAAAACGCACGGTATCCTTGCACTGATGCCACACAAACAGCTTGTTTATATAAACACTGAACAGTCAACAGGTAATACTTCCCCATTTAGCTTACAGTACCATTTTTTTAATAACGACCTATACTAGTTAAGTATTGATGATGATAATCCATTAACACATTTTAAAAAAATAGAAAAATATACTGCTACTGCTCTGAGGGTAATGTTCGTTGCTCTTGCAGTAGCAGCAGACTAAGCTTTACCCCCTGATCTGAATCTATGAAACCTGCTCTACAAATTTATATATAAAAATATATCATATAATAGTATGCTTTTTATGTCAGCACACTGTTAATAAATACTATGTTTAAACATCAATTAATGTAATGATTTTTTATTTCAGTACTGTACATAAATAAGTAGCAACAAGTTTCATAAACAAAGGCCGTCTGTAAATAGTCGATGGGTATGGAGAGACCAGGTACTCAAGTAGTTAGTTAAGTAATTAATGAGTAACAGAGCAAAAAGCTTTTGGAGAAAATTCTGTCGAGATTGAGAATTCTGCAGTGTCTTCTTTCAGTGACTTATGGCCAAGGAGTGATGGAATAGTACTAGCTGCATAAGGGAGTGACATATTGGGATTATGCACATAGAAATTACATTTAATATGCATACGGTTGGAAGAACCCATGGTACAGTTTTGAATCCTCCACATGGCTCAACATGATTTTTCAGACTGGGATTAGATCAGACAGGCAATCAATAATTCCTTACCGTTTCAGGTTCAACTTTAGAGGAATCCTTTTTCTTGGTATCTTTGGAAGTAGATGCCCCTCTTGATGGGCCTTGAGGTTTCTTTTCTCCTATCTTGCTACGAGAATCACCGGAACTACCAGAAACCACTCCACGGGACAACTTTTTAGATGAACCTTCTTGTTTTAATATTTTATCTACAGGTGGAGAGGAATGAGTGGGAGACATATTTAAGTCTAGATGATCTCCAACAGTACGTGCATATGCCAAGTCAGCCACATTTGGTGCCCAGCTGCTGCTCTTCTTAAGGATTTCTGGATGATAATGCTTTATATGCATCTGCAAGTAAAGGAATAAATATTATAAAAGTATTATTGTGTACTGCAAACAAGTATTAATTAATGCTGGTTAATGGGAAAATGCAAACATTATAAAATTTTACAAATTAAAAGGTGTGAGAAAAGAGATGAAAGAGAAGTTTTATATTTTTAATGCAAGTACAATACAGTGGATCCTCGATACAACAAACCTAGATTCAGTGAATCTCCAATTGGAGCACACAATTTCAATTCCAGATTTACTCATTTATTTTGATGTGCAAGAGTTTGTTGGAGCAACTCTTGCTCAATTTACAGGTGGAGGCAATTTTACAAGAATAGTTGGGACCTTGGAAAAGCCACTGAGCATATTTAAAACCAAATTCTATGGTTCTTTTTTATTTCCAGTTGCCAAGGATTTTGTTTAGTAAAATATGGGCTATTTTTCCTTTGACAATGAGATTTCGAGCCTTGAGTTTGGGAAATATGCTAGATATGGTTAAATTTCTTTACAGACAGGGTTCTCTTGGTTGTTGCCCTTCATATGAAAGATTGAAATTATAATTTCACTTGGTGAAATCAGCCCATAGTGTGAGATAAACATTAAGGTTTCAATAGTAATTCTCTTAATATGGCTCCAAATCATGTTTTTGATGACTTGTAGATGGACTCAACATTACACAAAATAGATGGAGCCTTGGGAAAGCTATTGAGGATATTTAAAACCAAATCCTATTGTTTGTTTTTATTTAGAGTTGGTAAGGGTATCGCACATCCTGCTACCATTTGAAAATGAGTTTGGAGGTTGGGGGACATGAGAAATAAGCTAGATGCCCTTAAATGTTTTTTCAAACATGTTCAATTGGAAATTGTCTATTATATTAAAGGTAGAAAAGAAAATTTTGCCAAGTGTTAGCCCACAGAGCATAGAAAAGGCACCCTGGAGGCATCTCCGGTTGCAATGAATCCCCCCCCTCACTGCAATCAATTGGGGCTGGCCCCACATTGTTCGTTGAATCGAGGTTGTAGTGTATTATGAAGAAAATTACTAAAGACAAGGAAAGAGATCTTTGGCAAATGCTGCTGTTTTAGAAAATTAACTTAACATTATTTTGCTTGGTTTGAAATTGAATTAGGCATCAAACATTTGGATAGACTGCCTCTCTGCTCCAAACTGCTATTGGAGCATCCAAGTAAGCTTAGCTCAGAAAGTTTTCCCGTAGGTGGGATTAACATTTTGGATTCAATGAATCGCCACTAATTAGTTTAACACACAACTTTGAATTATCCAAAATACAGTCAATCATGCATGAATAACGTCATTTACCTGCAGGAGATTTTCTTTCCGAAAGCCTTTTCCACAACCCTCCTTTGGACACTGGTGTTCGTTGTGCTCTGCTCTCACCACAAACTCATTGGGAGCAACTGTGGTAAATACATATTGCAGATATTATAATGAAGAATAAATATGAATTCTCAGAATGTATTACAGCACAAATATGTGAAATTTGCTAATACAACAGCTATACACCAAATGAAGTAAAGTATGAAGCCATACAGCAATATGTCACATTTTGACAGCAACTGTCAGAGCATATTGATGAGTATTACAACTAGCCAAACTTGGTATGCTTCCATGACATGAGGGAGATCGAGAAAGATATTCCCCAGGCTGGCAAATCTCACAAAACGAGCAGCGTGATGTAATGAGAATAGGGGTTAATAGTTACATGGTGTTGTAATAAGTAGGTATGCTTCCCTTCCCACTGTTATTTTATCTGATGCACTTTCTATGTCTCCTGACATTCAAGTTCTGTGTTTCATGTGTTGTTTAGGTAGAGTATTTCCTTACATTTATGCAACTAAATTATATTCCCAACTTCCACAGATATTCTGTACTCTAAAGTTGTGAGACTGAGTGCCTATGTCTTTTGCTCTCCTGAATATGTCTCTTTGCTCTTTTTCTTTTCTGTCACACAGGTGGGTACAAGGGGAGACAATTTATGTCTCATGTTAGCAATATTACAGTTATCCCCTCCGCAAGCTCTTCTTAAACCGCATTCTAATTATTACCCCCCCTGGAACATGCCCTTCCCATCATTTTACAACCAGGTTTTCACTTACTGCTTGGTGAATAAGGGTAAATGCTAAGGACTGGAGTCCAGTCAACCTTTCCTGCTTAGGGGTTGAACCCAGTTAAAAACTGCTTTTGGCATAAATCTTTTAATTCACACACACGTCTTACAATTAAGTTTTCTACATCATGAGGTGCAGATTCCATGCTGTTACTGCAATTTACATCATCAGTAATAGAGGAAAGTGTAGGTGTAGGAAGAGTGTGCATCGCCCCACCATGCACATGGGAGGAACAGTGCTGCTGCACCATGCTCAGGACAGTGGATCGAACCCACTAAACGATACAATAGGATGTATCATCAGTTATGGCAGAAACATAAGTGATAAACAGCTTCTCCTGTGACACCCAAAATATGACATGGCACCCTGTCCCCTCGTAGAGGTGAAGACACAGTAGGAGCATATCAAAGTAAGCAAAAATGCTAACTAAACCTCCCTCTCAACAAGCTTTGCTTCCGCAATTAAAGCCCAAAATCAGCAACTCGAAAGAGGCCGATCCTGGGGAGGGACCTGACAAACTCAGAGAAAGTTAACTCAATTAACGTGTTAGCTAAGCAGTCCTTTCTGCCGTAGGCCCAATTAAGACTTTCAATCTAGAGTTTATGGATGTACTAGACTGTGGTAGGAATGAGAACTCCTGTAACTAGAGCTGAAATGAAACCACGCATATAAGGGACATGCACTGGTCAGAGTCCTAATGAAGGACAAGCTGCTTACAGCATTTGTAAGACAACTGGTTACCAGCAAGAGCAAAGGGGCCTGAGGCTTGTGAGGTGATATAGGGAAAAGGGTGGTTGGCTGGGACATGTGTAGTTGATTGCTTCCCCTATTGATTAGGGTTTATGGCATTCTCACTATTTTCTAAAAATGCTGCTCGTGATTTTGCTTTACCCTTTGACTTTCTGAGTGGTTTACTCAGTTGCGGGTTGACCTTTGATCACTATGTTCTCCCCTCGCCTCTTCAAGGAGTGTCAGATACTGATTCTGGCTCCTGGCATGCCAAGAAAATCTCATGAACCTAAAGTTTGGTATACGTAACTCTGAGATGTCTGTGCCTAAAGTTCCTGGAAGCTACTGAAGGGCCAGCACAAAATGCTGAGCGCTGACCTTACAATACAGTACTGTATTTAAATAAATTAGCGAGTTCATAAAATACAATACCAAAGTAATTAAGATTCTTACCATATCCAGGGGGTTTGTCACCTTGCAAGAAATAAAAATGAGGTTAATTACAGTCATCTCACTACAAAAGCTTATCCATATGGTTTAGTAAATGGCTTAACTGTTAAAGTAAAAAAACATTTATTATTTGGGATAAATGACACTAACCAAATTTATACATATGGTAGGCCTAAATACACATTCAGCTACTTGATCTAGACTAAATTGCAAGAACACAAAATATTTAAATATCAACACACACTTGTTCTAACTTCTTTCCAATCTTTCTCATTTGTCCACAGCATATATTATTAACTTTATAGTCTACTTTATTTATGAGTAATTGCCATATTTTCTCTCATCTAATGGTTACCTTAGACACATGTGAAATCTAGCCACCTCCTAAACTTAGCAGTTTTAAAAAACCCAGCGTTGAATGTAATGATACGCGATTTTCTGGGCGAGCCCCGGAGGCTCCCTGGAGCTATCTGGCTAATGTGTGATATATTAGACTGGAGCATTAATCTATGGAGTTCAGCCTACCGGTGACCATGAGCCAGAACCTGGCCCCCTCAGAGAGGTTTCAGGGAGCCCTGAAGCCCATTGTTTCAAACCCCCTGTGTTTAGGGGGGTTTCCTTATTTGCCAACGACTGGGGTTAGGCACCCAGAAAGGTAGGCATAACTAAACAAGCCCCACTGGCCTCGATTTCCAAAGGCGGTGTTTTGCCTTCATGGAGACCTCTGCATTATATGCCAGGTTCTGGCTCATGTTCCTCAGTAGGCTGATCTCCATAGACTAATGTCCCAATCTAATATATATCACACATTAGCCCAATAGCTCCAGGGAACCATAGGGGCTCCTCACAGAAAACATGATTAAAGCGTATACAAATTCACCTATAATTGAAGTTACTAAAATTTGTCCATGCCTGGAAATTTTTCAGCTAAAGACAAAGGAAAAATTTCCAGTGAACACCAAAATTCTTTTGGGAATTATTTAAAACTCCAGAATATGGATACTTACGGACAGGATCCTTCTTCACCATGTGCTTTTGGCGTGCAGGTGGTGTAAAATCTGGCTTGGACAACTCTGCTCCTGAATCTGATACAGTGGCTGGGTCTACTTCCACTGAAGGTGGTTCCTCTTTAATTGTTGCAACTGCTGCAACAAATTAAACGAGAAGAAAATTTTACTTGTGCTTAAATATATTGGGAATAAGGTATCTAATGAGACCTAATTAGATAACTAGAAAGTAGGTTCAATAAAAGATAGTGCTAAGACATTTTGTAATTCAGTGCAATTAAATCATAACTGGCAATTGTCATTTTGATGATGTCATAGACCAAACAGAATTAAGTCAGTAAAAATATGATTTTGGGTGTAGATAAGAAGCTCCTTTCAAAACCAGGAACTAAAGCTGCTTGCCTCAGCAAGATCCTGGGGCCAGATTCATGAAGCAGTTTCGCAAGCACTTACGAACCTGTATAACTTTTCTCAATCTTTGGCGGCTTTGTTTACACTTATTAATCAATTAATGAGGTCCAAAGCACCAGAAGACTGTTTATAACAATAACAACAATTGATTGGGAAGTTTTTATGCTTGTAAACTGTTTAATAAATTTAACCAAAGCCATCAAAGATTGAGGAAAGATGTACACGTTCGTAAGTACTTGCGTAACTGCTTCATGAATCTGGCCCCTAGTCCCCAGGATTCAGCAGAATTCAGAGCCAGGTGTGATTCAGCAGAATTCAGAGCCAAGTATAAGGCCTGGGCAAATCTGGGCTGATCTGGGCTCACAGGCCAGAAACAGCTAGGCATAGTCCTGAAAAAACAGGGCTCACAGCCCAGAGTGCATTTTGGCTGAACAAACACTGATCCTTGACCAACACCGCCTGGTGAAGGAAGATATGCAGACACTGACAAGAACAATCTTTCACATAACCCAAATGCACCCTCATTCAAACTGCAGGGTCCAACAACAAAGGGGCAGAGCCATGTGTCATAGCCACACATGAAAACATTTACACTCCAGAGATTAGTGAAACCGAATGAAGGCAAAGAGCTGATCCCTGCAGGACACACACACACACACACACACACACACACACACACACACACACACACACACACACACACACACACACACACACACACACACACACACACACTGAAAAGCCATTTGGAGCATTAAAAATATGCAGACTGTAATTTTCACCTACTATATATAAGAAGCCCACAGCTGGTGACAGCTGGAGATAAAGCACTAGGTAAAGTTTGACTCATCCTGTGAACAGCTAAAACAATGGGGATGTAGGGTGCCAATGAACTAAACACAGAAAAGGCCAAAGAGGAAAAGGATGAATCAAGTGACACCCCCCCAGCACATTATGACCCTGCAGGGATGTTTAAAAAATCCCTGAAAGCCATACTTTATGTTATATCAGTCTGACTGCATGATCCACTTCCAAGGACAGCGGAATTTTACATAAGGAAGTTGCCGAGTGTGAGAGCTCGGAATGGAGCTGATGGTAGCAGGATCCTAGCTGGTTGTGTAATTAAAAAAATAAAAGAGCACTATTGTACTAACAAAAATCATAATATCAGGAATCAATAATAAAAAAATAGCAAACTTAGGACTGCTCTCAGCAAAAGTATGTGAATTTTTTTTAAAGAATATATATAACATAGAAAATTAATGACTGAAAGGCAATGACAGTAACTCAAGCCATAAAGAAAAAACTAATACCTGAACAAGTGGTTGCAGAGGCAGGCAAGGATCGAGGGAGTGCTAAGGGCATGGTAGGAGACCAGGGACTGGCTGAGCAGCTCTGCATTGATGATGATAACGTACCTATATTCTCTGTTTTGGGCAAAATGGGGATCTCTATTTTTATTCTCGGGGAGTCACTCAGCTTAACATCAAGTCGCTTTGTCTCTGGTTTCTTCGCTTCAGATTTTTTTGCAGAAGGAGCTTTGCTGTTTTCTGCTATTTCCAAAGCAGCAGTCTTTTCATCTTGGTCAATCTTTTCTTCTTTAATCTAAAAAGAAATTGTAAATAAAAATCTTTATTTACATTATGACATTGTCATTTGAATAATAAGAGATGGAAGACATGAACATATGTAAACAAACTTTCTCTTATTTTAATAGGTAAGTTGAAGTGGAGGCTAAGTCCTTACATGAATTCCAACATAAATACCAAATTAGTAATGGTAATGTCTTCTCACAGACATAATAACATAGGATAAAAACTCTCGAGTTTCTCGAGAGAGAAACTCTCTCTTTTGCACTCTCTTGAGTGCTTGATCAAGGTCTGAGTGTGTGAGTAGGAGGAGACTTACATCTTAATGTTTAATCAACATTTAGATGTAAGTCTCGTCCTAATCACACACTCAGACTTGATAAAGCACTCAGAAGAGTGCAAAAGACTTGGTGTAAATTCCTTACATAAATTTCACAAATACACAAGTGTGGGTTTTTATCCTATAAATACCAAACATCTGAACCTATTGAGTAGGGAGGCATCCCTGATGGATTTACTGGTATTTATTTTCTCCCATACCTCAAAAGCATCAACATCTTTTGAGGATTCCTTTTGATCCTTAGGCGGGTGGGAAGTCACAGGCGCTTCTTTAGTTTCTGCTTCTTGAAGGTAAGCCTCTATGGCATCTGCAATTTTATAAATAGGGTGAATATTTTAGGATAAATATTATCCCTGTGACTGCAAAAATACTTTCAAGGGATAATAACAAAATTAATTTAAGCTCAGTCAACTTGTATATTTTCCCAGAGTATTTTATACAACGTTCAGTGTTAAGAGCTTCATCTAAATGACTGATTCAAAATTATGTTCCTCAACAATTTAAAAAACTGTGAATTCTAAATATGGAGTATTCAGTACAGTAATAGTTATTGGTTTTATTTCTGAGAACCTAACAATTAGAAATTTAGATTCTGGAGAGTACTGTAATTACAAATAATAAGCTTCAAATATTGACCAAAGAAATATTCACCTTTTCCAAAACAAATTTAAGAGGTAATATACAAGCAATTACTGTATAATGACTGTACAGCTAATAAAGTCATCTGCATGCTATACCTTTCATATTTTTCACAGAAAAATCAAACTTGTCTAAATCATATGTTTGTCCTGTCTCTTCGCAGTATCGAAGTAGGTCATTTTTACAACGGATCTTCTTGCCCTCGGGTCTGAAAATGTTAATTATTATTAGTAAAGCGAAACAATAAACAACTGAGTTATCAGCATATGGACCTTGACTTAAGTATGGTTTTAAATACTACTCACATAAAATATTAATAAGGAAGGTAGAGGAATATGATATTGGAGGGGATCTCTTAATCATTAAATTGCATGCCAATACTTTGTACCTATTCTGTGGTGTATAAAAATCAGCATTGAATGTCATAAACATCTCTTTTTTGGTTGGGTTTCAATGGCTCCCTGTAGCTAACTCAGCTAGGTAGTTCAACACACAAGTCACAGCAACAGGCCTAGGAGTGCTGCCTTCTGCAGACCAGAAACAAAACCAGGTGTAGGGAGCAGGGAACTGTTACTATCATCCTCACCAAGAAACATTTAGAAAGTAAGCAGTGCAAACCTGCTTTTTTCTCTGCAACTGTAAGGTTTACAGAGGAAAAAGAAATTAAACCGCAAATGACTCTGCAAAGGATCCACACAGCAGTTAAGTCAAACCTCCTAATTACAGCTCGCCACTGACAGATGGCAACATCATTGGACACTCCAGCTCGAAATGTCAACAGAACTCAGTCTGAAGCTGAAAACCACCATCGATGAACCTGGAAGGAAGGAGAAGGACCAGGATGCCACCGAGGCCCTATCAGAAAGAAGCACACGTTATTACATTCATAGCTGGTTTTCTGGAGGGTCTGAACGGAGGCTCTCTGTAGCTAACTAAACCACACACAATAAGGAAAAAATGGGATTCATCAGGAAGGAGAGTGAAGACTAAACTCAAAAATATGAGAATGTAGGATGGGAACCTAACCCAGCAAAATACAAGCCAGATGGGAATCAGGAAGAGAGACCAGTAACAAGATGCCAGGAGCCTGTTAGACCTCTAAAACCACCAAACCTCATTATCAACTCACAACATGTTAGAAAAGACTGCAGTTAAAGCTGCAAACTTGTGATCATCATGGGCCCAAGGGTAGACTATAGGCTGGCCAGACTTGATGACCATCCATCCTGGGGTTGGATGGCCGGCACCGGGGTCTGGGGTTCCCCCTTCCCCCTCCGGGTGGGGGGGGGGGGGAAGTTGTGCAGACAGCAGCATGGTGATAGTTGTGACTTCATGATTGTTTGCTTGTTTTCGGACTGGGAGTTCTGCTTGATAGTTCGGTTTTTGGTAGGAATTTTTAACCAGGTGGTGTTTTGGGATGCCTACCTTTCTGGGTGCCTAACCCAGTTGATGGCAGACATAGAATGCTTCCAACCACATAGGGGTTTCTATAGACCATTGCTCCTCTTACCTCTCTGAGGGGGTCAGGTTCTGGCTCGTGGTCACCGGTAGGCATAGAACTCCAATTGAATTAACTGATGCCAGGATCTAATACATACATATTAGCCCGGTAAGCTCTGGGGAGCCGGAGGGGCTCTCCACAGAAAAGTAGCCAAGTAAGCACAGATACATACTGTGATCCTCTGCAGTAAGAGCTCCAGAAAGCAGCTGCACATGGCGCTGCCACAAATCCTGTCCAGAGCCTAAAACCCTCAAACACTTCTGAGCCCAGAGAAAGGATTTGGGGAGACAAGAGGCCTTGAAAACTATGCCAGGCAGAACTGTGGAAGGCAAAGGAGGAGCAATCTTAAAGCAGGTGGATGTTATCAATTGCTGTTTGGATCATTTTTAAGAGTCATTTCTGCGTCATATCTTTTCTCTTTGTGAACCTTGCAGCTGTCTGTTTTGTTTCACTTACTTTCTGAATGTTTGAGGGTGATTGTAAAAATCCCTTGCTCCTTTTACCTCTGTGAGGAATTCCAAGTCTCTTGACTGCAAATAGGCAATAATGGATGTATGTATGGAGCTATATCAATGAGCTAGCACAGGGAGCCACAATTTTGGTCCCTTCAGAAAAAAAGCTATGCAAATAGTGATTATCAAGATAAAGTCTCAAACCGGAATGGCTATACCCATTAGCTAGAATGGGTATATATAGCTAGAATGGGTATATACCCAGAATGGCTATACCTATATATAGTACTTGGGCCCAGTGCTATATAGCACTAATGCAAAGAAATGGCAATTCCATTGTTAAGGGGCCAAAGTTAAAGACTAAAGAACCTCTTAAACATAGAATTACAAAACTTACGCAATATAGAACATGTCCCATTTGCCAGCAGTTGTCCCATGGGTGCGGCGGGTACAACACTTCTTCCAGCCACTGTCTAACTCAACTGTCACAAGGTTAGAATCTGCAAAAAACATTTTTCACTGAAACTGCTGATTGAGGGGTAATATTACAGTCAATAATATAATAAACAAAAATAAAAAATAATTTATATGGTTTATAAGTGTTTATAAGTGTTACCATTCTTTCAACTAGAGAATATTGGTCACTCCTGCTCTGCATGCATTTCTCAGCCATGGCTTATTCAATATACTTCACAATAACATTGTGATGCAAAGTAACTAAGGCAATCACTCTCCTGGCCTCTGTCACTCTAACCTTAAGAGTTATGGACACTCTTTGCCCATTATTGCAGGAACATCGATGACATTTTCGGAATAGCAAGAGGAGCGGAAAAGGTGCTAAACATAGACTGGTGGATAGATTCTATGCACCCAAACTTGATGTTCACAGTAGAAAAAATGAAAACCAGACACCATTTCTAGACACAATGGCACAGAATGAAGAGAAGGAGTGCGGCTCATGAGTGCTGCCCCCGAGTGCTACTTACGACACCATGGCAGGAAATCTACTACCAGTCAACACCACTGACCCCCTTAAGGACCAAAGCAAGGTCAACCTGGGTCACCAAGGCATAAGCAATCATGGCTCTTTTTTTCATAGAGCGAATATCCACCTGTAATAGTCTCGCCTTGCCTGCCTTATTTCAGACAGCTTGCCACCTACCACCTTACCTGAAAGGTGTCAGGTGGGAAATACTTTCCCACCTAAAGGTAGGAAAGAACAAGTGATTAAAAAGTAGTAGTGGTGGCATCCCTTGTCTTGAAGTGTCTTGAAGGTTCTCATAATATATCCTATAACTTTCCTGGCTGATGGAATGTTTGCTTTGTTATGCTCGCCAATGTTAAGCCATCCGACATTATTATTCCTAGACTCATTACATGTCATTTTTCTGTCTTGTATCCCGCATTCTATTTACGCACTTTCTTTCCATGTCTAACTATCTGAAATTTATCACTACTGAACATCATTTTTTTTCCAATGGCCAGTGGAAATTTTTTTTTTTATATCTGTTTGAGGGGCCCAGATTCTAAGCCTAGCTTCAGGTAGGTCAAAAAAGTCTCAAGGTCCTAACGTTCAATATCAGCCTTATGGTGTTAGAGATGTATGCTCTAGGAAACTACTAAAATGCTACACAGAAAGTGGCTCTTCATTACATTCAAATGCTCTGTTTTATACCAAAGTTGCATTTCTATGTACTGGTACAGTACTTATTACAGTAACTAAATAGTTAATATTTACTCACGATGGGATTGTGCTGATGTATCGCAGGAACTACTGGTACTTTCAGGAGTCTCGGTAGGAAATAAAGACTCGGTTTGTTTCAACAATGGACCTTCTTCCTCAGTAACACATGCAGAGTCTCGGCTTCTTTTTCTAGAAGCTGGAGCCTTTCTGACTTGAGTGGACCGAACCGGGGGCTGGTGTCTTGGGGATGATGACACAACACGAGAAGTCTGTGGATATTTTGGAGATGTTGGAGTATCTTCTTTCTTTCCATGATGCTGATAAAAATATGAAAAAATAATAATAAATTGTTGCTATAAATGCTATACAACAGTAAAATTGCAATTTCAAAAGTCCAGAAGCCAGTTTTTCCTGTTTTAAATTTTAAAAGTTGAAATTCATAATTTCAAAATACAGTGAGGTCTGTTTCCTTCAGATTGGTCTAGCATCAATCATCAATAATGAATTGATGCTAGACTAATTCTGCTGGACTGAGTTTTCTGGTATACAGCTTATACACTGACTGGACAAACTAGATATGTTGGGCATTTGTGAGACTCTACCCATTGGGGACAAAAGCCTTTGCAAACCACTACTTGACCCTCTTTGGGGCGGAAACATGCAGGATTTAGGGATCAAGGATCAACCTAATACTGAAGTGAACCACCTGCAAAAGAATTATAGAGAAGGCACAAAACACTCAACCTCCCACTGAAAAATATTTTGATGTGCCAAAATATTAAGTTTTAACATTTGGCTTACAAGCATATCAACCAGCTCTTCCTCTCTGCCACCAGGTAGCAGCCCAACCCATACTGGCTATTGGTGAGAAACCCACTTCACTCCTGTCTGGAGCCCAGATAGTCACACATCTATGATGTTCTGAGGATATCATTTCAATCATAATATACAAGTGTTAGATTTCTATTGAACAAGTTGGTCCATGCATTTGGAGTTCATGCTTAAAACATTTCACAAGTGTGTGTGCAGGCTGTTCATCTTGAATGTATCTTGGGGGTATTTAATTTCCTAAGCTGTAGTTTCTGTGTTTACTTCCCTGGCACTTGAGGTGGCAACCATTTACCACCTGAGTTATCTTATCTGTGGTACAGTATTCAGTTCCTCCATAGGAAGACTCCTCTTGAGGAGACAGGTCAACTCAAGAGCACTACCAATGTGTCCCTGGTTATTAGTGCTTTAGGACTTTGTCCTAATAGTCAGCAAGGTCTGTTGTGTGGAAGTTTATGTGATTAGTGTGTATGCATGCTTCTGTGTGCAGGTGCAGTGTCTATGCCTTTTTTGGAGAAAGATAGGCATAAGAGATGGCAGTTGTTCATATTTTATCTCTTTTAACACAATCATAAATTTGCTTTGGCTCTCATTTCTGGGATCCCTTATACAATGCTATTTATGAAAATCATCTACCACCAGAGTTGTCTTTTCTGAGGTATTTAATTCCTCCTTTGGGAAGTTTTCTTTCAAGTCGATCCTGTTCTGAGAAGTGCTTTGGACTTAAATGACAAACAAATTTGTTTTGTGTGCTTGGTTTGTCCTCAGTTCTGGCTCATACAGAACTGAAAACAAACCAGCCTTGGTGAAGAAACTTTGCATCATTCACCAGGATTAAAGATGAGAGTAGTTAAGAGACCTTTCATTTTATCTATGGTTACTTAAACCTTCCCTTGTTTATTAGCAGCAAAATTTGGTATTGGTTAGCTATGTGTGCAGCCTCTAGCTCCTGGTCCTTTCAACCAAAGGCTCAATTGATGCAGCATTCCAGTAACCCTTGGGGGGGGGGGTCTTTTACCTTGCCCTTCTGGTTGGGTTGTTAGGCATTGCCCTCCCCAATTCACAGCCTGATGATACTGTAAGCAGCAATTCTGGTGGTGCCCCACTGATTTGTTCTGGTATACTGTCTAGTTCTCTGCCTTTTGCAAGGTTTGTTTACCTCATTTCTCCATTGGTTGAGTTGTGAAATCATTCCCAACTCAACTTGGAACCTGATGATGCAGGATAAATCAGTCCAGTTTCTGGGCTTTTTGATTGTTTACCTAATTTCTCTGCTGGTTGGGTAGCACTGTCTCCCATCCAAGCCTGCCAAAAGTGAATGCAACAGTCTGGGTGGTCTCACCCAATCTTTTATTCAAGTGGACAGTTAATTACTGTTGAATCTAGGATGTTTATTTAAATTGTTTTCTGCTGGTTAGGCATAAGATCTCCCCCATTTGCTTCAGAACTTGTCTCTCTATTGCTTGCAGCTGTCCTTGTTCACTATCCCCTCCCAGATCACTTTAATTTCTTTGACTAAAAAGTTCCAGGGTGTTTGATGTTCTTAGATGAGCCAAAGCAGAACTTTAGCAAAAGAAACGCAATTAAACTGACATACATAGTGTGAAACTTTCTAAAACATGAAACTCCAACACCTGGACAGTTAACTCTGAAAAATATTTAATCAACTTATTCGGAATAAGTGAAGCAGTCTCAGCCAGGAATCATATAAATGTATCCAGTTATCAAATGTGCCAGGCGAGTCTGAGGTGATCGCCTCCTGTGAGCCTCAAGTGGATCTAGCTACCACCTGTTGGGGGTTGTGGGTAGTCAGGTTAGTGGAGGGGTTACTTAGTTCAAAGTTCTGATCAGTGATTTGGTATTGCCAAATATTAATCAAAAGGAGATTAAGTTATCTCATGTCTCAGTATTTTGCTAGTGGTGCACCTCGGTTGTAATCTCCAATCCCTTACAATTCTTGCTTCATTGTGGAGCAAAGCAGTTTGAAGACACCCTTCTCCCTGATAAGTCATAGTCACCAGGAGTCGCACATTCACAATGTCCTAACCATGCTGGTACAGGGTAACAGAAGCTAAATGGGAATGCCAAACCAAAATAACAAAATGTCATTAGTTACAAACAAAATTCCTTACTTCATATTTGCGTTTTTTCTTTAACGACTGAAAAAGCTCTTCAACAGCAGCTTTTCTCTTGGGTTTCCTCTTTTGATCGATTATTTCTACATCAAAGATACTTTTTTTAATAGGTGTTGTTACTGCTTCAACTTCTGGTAGTTCCTCCTCTGAAAGGGTGATGACAATTTATGCTTTGAAAAGCTTGTGTTTAACTATTTAAGTTGTCTCTATTTACTGATGTTAATAAAATAAAATGATTATTTTCTGAACTCAAATTTTTCCTGGAAGGCTCTAGCTCTATACCTTCACAAAATGCAAATTTCAGAAACTATCACCAACACTACTCTCTAATTTAAAAAAAATAACAAACAATTCTAATATAAATGAATAACTAATACAAACCCTTAATGCTATCTACTGAGTGTTGGTCTGGCTCTGGACTTGAAGAGCGTGAATCTGTAGAACTGGCAGTGGTAGCTGCTGGAGAGAGGAGCATCATCTCATCATCATCAGGTCCTGAATGCTTACTAGGACTGCAACTACTGCTGGCAGATTCCCCTTCTTCACCTGTCTCACTTGTTCCTGGAGGCTGTAAAATGTGCTATAATAATATGTACCATAACTAAGACAATTTATAATACAATCTTATTCAGTTTACTGTATATTTTCAACGTGCACATAAAATGTATATTATACTGAACAGAATAGTTATAATTATTCAAAACTGTAGGAAACTCACATATCAAGCAATAAATGTAATGAAACGCCTCTTTCTGGTGGGTCCCCTTGGTGGCTCCCTGAGCTACCTGCCCATTTAGCTCCAAGTTTAAAGTACACCACCAAGCTTTTTCAGTTACAAAAGCCTACTGGAGTCCAGGACCAGAACCTGGCCCCTCAATAGAGGCAAGGGAGTCTGGGAATAATACACAAATCCAGGCCAAAAGGAAAAACCACCAGAACTGCAGGAAACATTTATAACCCTAACACAAACTTAAGTTTAATAGGGAGCCGGCAGTTGAGCGGACAGAACACTGGATGCATGATCCTGTGGTCCCGGGTTCGATCCCGGGTGCCGGCGAGAAACAATGGGTACAGTTTCTTTTACCCTGATGACCCTGTTACCTAGCAGTACATAGGTACCTGGGAGTTAGTCAGCTGTCACGGGCTGCTTCCTGGGGGTGAAGGCCTGGTCGAGGACCGGGCCACGGGGACACTAAAGCCCCAAAATCATCTCAAGATAACCTCAAACTAAGTACACACACTCACTGTCCAGACCAGCTGGTATACACACTCGCTCACCACCATATGGCAGCCCTGGTAACTCATCCCCCCCATGCAGGCTGCTGCCATCAGTCTTGCACCTGATGTGGTTGAGTCAACAGCTGCTAGTGGCCTATCCACTCTTGATGGCTTTGTTTTCAGCTAAGTGTTGGTTTTTCTTTTGAACTTTATAACGTCTTTTTATTTTTTTTTTCTGCTTCAGTTGCGAGTTTTTTCTAGCCTCATAGTTGTGTAAGCCTCGAGTTTTCTTCCCCTTGAGTTTTTCTTCACTGTTTCTCCTGAACAGATTGTCAAGCCATTTGGCAGTCTGATTGCCTCATTTACTATGAACTTGAGTCGTCTGTAAAGCCTTGCTGCCTTTTGGATGCTTTCCTGGTGGAGTATCAAGAATATGTCTGCAGCCTCTGTGTCTCTGTGAGGAGGCCAGGATTTGGCTCTGGTCCCCAGTAGACCAAATGAACTCATGTGACTGATGTCACCCAGTAGTGGGAGCCATCTCAGCAAGATAGCTTCAGGAACCCACCAAGGAGCTCCTCCTAGGAAAAATTACTCCTCCCCAGAAAAAAAGGATATTAATGAGATATAAACAATTAATACAGTATTTACAGAGAAAAAACTGTACCTTTGACTCAAACTTTGTAAGCGCCCCAGATCGCACAACTTTTGTAACGCCATCAAAAAACAGCACCTCATATTGTTCTGAAAAAAATCAATGCCAAGTGCAAGTATGAAAAATTGTAATCTCTGATAAATTCTAATCACATATAAGTAATATCATAAGTATGAAACAGCAAAATACTAAACCATTAATCAAAACTTGAGGTTTCAATCGCATCAGAATTATTGAGAAAAGTATATCCCTGGGCTGGAATATCTAAAGATAAGAACAGGATAGTAATAGTTACAGGGCACGTTAATTTGTACAGGGTGGTCAATGGTTACAGGGCACTGTAGTGAGTGCAAGGGCACTGATTACAGAGTGCTGTAGTGAACACAAGGCCATCAATAAGTACAGGGTGTTTTAGTGAGTACAGGGAGGTCAATAATTACAGGGTGCTGTAGTGAGCACAGGGAGGTCAATAATTACAGGGTGCTGTAGTGAGCATAGGGAGGTTAATAATTACAGGGTGCTGTAGTGAGCACAGGGAGGTCAATAATTACAGGGTGCTGTAGTGAGCACAGGGAGGTCAGTAAGTCAGTAATGCAAAAATGATAGTGCTGGAAACCTCAATACAGTACATAAACATTAATTTACTTTATCCTTACAATTACAGAAATAGGAATGCTTACCGTCTCCCAATATCTTAACAACTCTAGCTTGGTAACGTTTGCCATCGGCTGCCCAGCGTGCAGTTACTCTATCTCCAACACGAAATTGACCATGTCTTTTATCTTTTCTGAAATAATACAAAGCACAATTCTTGAGACTACAAAGAATAAGGAGGCATTTATTAATAAATGCATTATAAAAAAATATGACCACTGACTGAAACTTTATTTCTGATTTACCTAAGAATACAATGTTACCTAGCTATTGACTCATTAGCTCTTAGGGACCTGGCATATCCTTGTTGCAGACAAAATATCTGGCCAATTTGAAACATACATCTATACACACGTACACAATCTATACAGTAATGTACATCATGCAATACAATATGAATGTTACAGTACGTACCTCTGAGAACTGCGTACCAGTGGTCTAATTCTTGTAGAGTCCATTTTGAGCCACTCATTAAACCGATTAGACCAGCGTTCATAATGAACTAGTATGTCTAGTTCTCCCCAATCTACTATTACTATTTTACACTGGTACCTAAAAATTGTGATAACTAAATCAATAAATCAATTTTTATAAAAACAAAATTACAGTACTGTATATCCTTTTTGTACCTTCATCTAATATGTCATTTAAAACACACAAAACTCTGCTTCAGGTAGATCCTTCTCCAAACACAGAAATATATATTTTTGCACAGTTTTATCCAAAATAATATTTTAAGATACACTGTACTTTGATTCTAACTCAAATGAGAGCATGGCAGCCAATTATTCTGTACATGTACTGGGTATTAAATTTTGAAGGAAAACAAAAAAATATGGTGTTTGAACTATGCAAATACTGGAATAAAGCAGAAATAATACAACAATTGCAAAACTGCATATGAGATTATTTATAGACATAAGGCAAAATTTCCTGATAAGCAATCCCAATGATTAAAGGTAAATTTTTGAAAGCCAAATATCAAGTGAAAAAACACGAACAGTATAGCAAATGTACTGAAAATTTTGAATAACATACATTAATTAAATAATAAAACTAATATTTCAAATATGAGGCACATATGCTGCATGAGATACTATCAGACCAAAGTTAGTTATAAATAATTTCTACACATCATTAAAACAAATCTCATAAAAGAGCTTACCAGTTGTTATCCCTAGACTCTAGAACTTCCAACCTAGCTCCAGGGACAAAATCTATTCCAGGTTTGAAGACATGAAGCTGGCGAGCCATAGCATTGGCTTGGGCCACATCAGCTCGGCTGATCGTCACATCTGATTTACCCTGTAAATTGAGCTCGTGTCATTATGCTAACTAAATGTGTGTTGATGCCATAAGGATGATCAAGAAAGGTATCCTCAGTTTAGCATATCTCAGGATACAGACAATGTTTATCTATCAGTGTCTATGGAGGAATAAGATCTAGCTCGGTGACAAAAATTTCCTCGTTACAAAAAAATTCCAATGAAGTAGCATATATCAGCAGCCCCTCATGTTGAAGGTGCTTCCTCTGTGGAGGTGTTTAGTCAAACTCCTCCACAGGTGAAGGGAGCTGCATCTCCAGTGGCTCAACAATGCATGTTGTAGTTGCCTAGCCAGACATTGCACTGGCTTTCAGTTTTTGGGGCAGTTTTTTTTTTTTTTTACACAGGTGGGTACAGGAATTGACAAGTGCTGCAGACTTCTGTTAGCAGGCTGTGAGCTCTCCCATCCCAAGGCTCGTGGTTACCCACTAACTTCCCTGAAATTATGACCTGCCATTTGTTTAACAACCAGGTACCCAATCACTGCTGGGTGAACAGCAGCATACAGTTAAGGACTGGCACCTAGTCAATCCTTGCCAGTGAGGTTACAAATCTAGGCCAAATCTCTCAAAGTGCCGGGCGAGTGTGTTACCACTACACTTCTGGGAGTTTTGTGCCAAAGTTTATTCCTTTGTGTGCAGACTGACACAGTTCTTCTCTGGTTTCCTTTGCACCTTTTGAAAGTAGTAGGGTGCCGTTTTATTAAATAGGGCTTCTCTCTCCTGTGATCACTCTGAACTCTTGTGTGGTGAGGCAAGAATCACATTACTTTTGTTTTATCTACTGGATGTTTCTTTTTCCATTGGAATAAACTCAATGGAGTACAGCTTCTCTTATTTGTCCAACTGGTTGTTAGCAGAGTAGTAATTGATATTAGTATTAGATTTTAGATTATATTTGGAGAGGCTTAGTTGAATCTAATGTTCGTTTTTGTTGCAGGAAAGAAAGATGACCATAAGGTAGTGACTCGTGTTAGATACAGTGCTATCTCCTTTCCCAATCTATATGACCAGACTATGTGGAATGTTATTAATCATAGTGAGTTAGCATGTCACCAGAAATTAGTAAATGGAATGTGTGTGTGAGAGTTTGTGGACCCTTATACAGTAGGCCCATGGCTTAAGAAAGCAACCAAGAGACTATCTCAGAAATAGTGTTTTATCTTTACTATTTTATTTAAAATAAAGATAAATATACTGTAAATGAGGATATATTTATAGAAGATGTAATATACAAAGAAACATACATATACACACTTAACAAGACAAAAAATTTCATTATCTATATACAGTATCATGAAAAACATGAAAAAATAAAGTACTGTATATACAGAATATAATATATATACTGTATATAGAGGGTACTAACTTTGTCTGAAGATGGAGAAAACCCCAGGAAATCTTCTTCCTGTTTTGATGAATTTCCACCATCTTTGGGCTCTCCTGAATGATCTCTCTCCATCTTCTCACCTTTGGGAGAAGCTGAAATAATACACACATAAGACTCCACTATGTAAATGCACAATAACCAATATTTAAAAAAATGCAGTACTGTAGGATGTATTTATGCATGCTTGTATGCGCAATAATCATATCTGTATAGCATGTATATACAGTGCCATCACTGTACTCGCCCAGTTGTGCTTGCAGGGGGCTGAGCTCTGGCTCTTTCACCTCAATTGTTCCAACCATCTACAACTCCATTTGCTAAATAATTTTGTATGTATTTTGGGCATCTTTGTTTCTTTTTGCTTGAATATTTGGCCTCTTGTTTTTTAAGGTATAGGTTTAAAAAATTCCTTGCTAAATGTGTGTATTCCTGTCATTACTGTATTCTGTATTTGATGATCATATTGCCTCTTTTCCGTCTATCTTTGGTATATTTAACACATCCAGCCACTACACACAACAGGTTTTTCAGTCCCAAACACATTTAGTAATGTCTTTGTATCTTTAAAAGTTTACTGATGTTCATCTTGAGATATGAAGACCATGCAGCTGCTGAATGTTCTAATTTCGGTCTCACAAATGTTGGGAATACTTTTTTTTTTAACTATATCCTTAAATTTACAATTCTGAATGTGCCAGAGTAGCATAGGCTCTTCTCACAATACCTTAGATCTGATCTGATTGCATTTTACTATCCAGAACTACCTCAGAAAACTTCTTTCTGTAACATCTTTATTTCTGTAATATATATTTTATAGACTGAATGAGGCCTGCTTGCCATATTTCATTATTTATTTATTTATAAATACTGTATATACTGTATACAAGAAGGTACGTGTACATTGGGTTTATGAGAGTACATAGCATTGATGTTTTTACGTTCTTGTAAAGACACTAACACACAGCATTTCGGGCATTATGTGACATTAAAATTCATCTGCCATGTGTTGCTCCCTTCACTTATTTTATCTAGGCCATTTAGAAAGAGTGGTGCTCCTCTAGCATTGCCCCATAGAAGGAGAAGGAGTGGCTCATGGGTGGAAGAAATAGTTTATGAACGTCAGAAAAATTTCCCAAATTATCTTGGCATTGGAAAAAGTTGACTGCCGACCATCAACTGATATTTCATACATCTCAATTGGTGAATGTATATATCCCTCGTTTGATATACAGTATTGTAAATAATGATGGACATGAGCTTGAAAATAGCATGCATCAATATCACTTTTATATTTGTCCAATACTGAAGTCTCAATATACTTTCATACAGGTCATCACTATTTATATTGATTAAGAAACAATTTAAAATAATTTAAAATTGTCTTGTAGATAAAAGTTTTTATAAGACTTTTATATCCCAAAGAATCATTGGTAATGAAATTTCATACTCGTCAAAATATTCAGATAATTTTTTTGGCTTCTAGCTTATCGATTGGTTTTTCATTTTCATTTATACTAATTGTATTAGAACTTTGAAATGTTATTATTTATTTACTTATTTATCTATATACAAGAAGGTACATTGGGTTTATGAGAGTGCATAGCATTGATGTTTTACATTCTTGTAAAGCCACTAGCATGCACAGCATTTTAGGCAGTAACTATAATTATATCATAAGGCTGAAACTGCAACCTCCTGTACAGATGAGACCATCTAATGTCACCAGCTCTTAGGATGTTTAGAATTTGAATTGTGAATTTAGAATACTAATTAGTAGTATGTTTCATCTGTGTGGAGGTAAGGAAATATAAATATAAAGATTGTGAATCAAATGAAAATTGTAGCAAAGCAGCTGAACAGTCTTCCGTAGCACAATTTTCAATTAAATTCAAGGTGTGGCTGGTACATGGAACATAAATAGCTGTTCCATTATGGACTGTAGGTCATTTACTTACCTGCCAGATTTGCTGGACTATTGTATGTTTGACCTCAACAATTTTTAATATCTAATGACATTTGTTATGGATTCTAATACTGCATAACATTCTCTAGATACTCAGAATATATCTTTCTTTTGCACCTACCTCTTTATTAACATATCTTAAAATGAAAGATAACTGATTATGGGTCATGTCTGGGGAAGAATCAAGATTAACAGAATAATATAAAGCTTCTTTACCTTGAGAAATGAATTGCTGCTTTACTGCAGTTCCCATCAAACTCACCACAAGAAGTTAACATAATAGCACTAGAGATCTGCCATGAGGATGATAAACTAATGATAACAAATGCATATAGTCCACCGCCAAGCAGCACATGGTCAAAGGAGGAGCTAGATAGTAAACGTGAAGGTCTTATAACAATAATGAGAGAGATTATAGCGAGAGCGGATAACGATAGATCACGACTGTTGATAGTCGGTGACTTCAACTTGAAATCCATAGACTGGGAAGCATATGAAGCAAAAACAGAAGATTTTTGGACCTGTAAATTTGTAGACCTCATCCTGGAAACATTCTTGTATCAACATGTTAAACAAGCTACGTGGATGAGGGAAGGGGACGTTCCCTCCATGCTAGATTTGATATTTACCAGGAAGGAGGAAGAGATATTTGACATTCAGTACCTTCCTCCCTTGGGTAAAAGTGACCATGTCTTTTTGGGAATAAAGTATGCAATGCGTTATAAGCTGGAAGAAAATAAGGAGGTTGAAGCAGTTGAAAAACCAGACTTCAGGAGAGGACATTATGGTGACCTTAGAAATTTTTTTAGTGAGTATAATTGGACAGACTTGATGCTAGGCAAGAAGTGAATAAGATGTATGTCAAGTTTTGTGAAATATATGATAAAGGCACAAAAAAATTTATACCAAAACAGAGATGCAGGGCCAGAAAACAGGATTGGTTCGACAGAAATTGTGAGAGGGCAAGAGACCAAAAGACAGAAAAATGGAATCAGTATAGGAAGAGGCCAAACCCCCAAACATACCAGCGATACAAAGATGCAAGAAACAACTATACAGCAGTAAGGAGAGAGGCAGAAAGAAATTTTGAAAAAGGGATAGCGGATAAATGTAAAACAGAACCGGGCCTATTCTACAAATTCATAAACAACAAATTGCAGGTAAAGGATAATATCCAGAGGTTGAAAATGGGAAACAGATTCACGGAAAATGAAAAGGAAATGTGTGAAACATTAAATGAAAAGTTCCAAAGTGTGTTTGTACAAAATGAAATCTTCAGAGAACCAGACACAATAAGAATTCCAGAGAACAACATAGAGCAGATAGAGGTGTCTAGAGATGAAGTGGAAAATATGCTAAAGGAGCTCGGTAAGAACAAAGCAGCTGGCCCAGATGGAGTTTCACCATGGGTTCTGAGAGAATGTGCATCTGAGCTCAGCATTCCACTTCACCTGATCTTTCAGGCATCCCTGTGTACAGGATTCATAGCAGACGTGTGGAAAAAAGGCTAACATAGTTCCAATCTACAAAAGTGGCAGCAGGGAAGACCCCCTCAATTATAGACCTGTATCATTGACAAGTGTAATAGTGAAAGTATTGGAAAAGCTAATCAAAACTAAATGGGTAGAACACCTGGAGAGAAATGATATAATATCAGACAGACAGTATGGTTTTCGATCTGGAAGATCCTGTGTATCGAATTTACTCAGTTTCTATGATCGAGCCACAGAGATATTACAGGAAAGAGATGGTTGGGTTGACTGCATCTATCTGGACCTAAAAAAGGCTTTCGACAGAGTTCCACATAAGAGGTTGTTCTGGAAACTGGAAAATATTGGAGGGGTGACAGGTAAGCTTCTATCATGGATGAAAAATTTTCTGACTGATAGAAAAATGAGGGCAGTAATCAGAGGCAATGTATCGGAATGGAGAAATGTCACAAGTGGAGTACCACAGGGTTCAGTTCTTGCACCAGTGATGTTTATTGTGTACATAAATGATCTACCAGTTGGTATACAGAATTATATGAACATGTTTGCTGATGATGCTAAGATAATAGGAAGGATAAGAAATTTAGATGATTGTCATGCCCTTCAAGAAGACCTGGACAAAATAAGTATATGGAGCACCACTTGGCAAATGGAATTTAATGTTAATAAATGTCATGTTATGGAATGTGGAATAGGAGAACATAGACCCCACACAACCTATATATTATGTGAGAAATCTTTAAAGAATTCTGATAAAGAGATCTAGGGGTGGTTCTAGATAGAAAATTATCACCTGAGGACCACATAAAGAATATTGTGCAAGGAGCCTATGCTATGCTTTCTAACTTCAGAATTGCATTTAATTACATGGATGGCGATATACTAAAGAAATTGTTCATGACTTTTGTTAGGCCAAAGCTAGAACATGCAGCTGTTGTGTGGTGCCCATATCTTAAGAAGCACATCAACAAACTGGAAAAGGTGCAAAGACATGCTACTAAGTGGCTCCCAGAACTGAAGGGTAAGAGCTACGAGGAGAGGTTAGAAGCATTAAACATGCCAAAGCTAGAAGACAGAAGAAAAAGAGGTGATATGATCACTACATACAAAATAGTAACAGGAATTGATAAAATCGACAGGGAAGATTTCCTGAGACCTGGCACTTCAAGAACAAGAGGTCATAGATTTAAACTAGCTAAACACAGATGCCAAAGAAATATAAGAAAATTCACTTTCACAAATAGAGTGGTAGACAGTTGGAACAAGTTAAGTGAGAAGGTGGTGGAGGCCAAGACCGTCAGTAGTTTCAAAGCGTTATATGACAAAGAGTGCTGGGAAGACGGAACACCACGAGCTTAGCTCTCATCCTGTAACTACACTTAGGTAATTACACGTAGAGCAAGATAAATAACAAGATTGCCTCTTCCTGCATTACCATACATTTTTGTTTAAATCATCAATGACAGGAATGAAATTATTAATAAATATGAGCAGTATTGAGAAGAGCTGTTAACTTTGACTTGGTGACTAATCATAGAGTAATTTACAGTATATTTAGGGGTTTGTCTTATTTTAATGTAAAAATAAAGTAAAATAAAAATAAAAACAGTTTCAGATGAGGGAATACAGCATCGAATAAAAAAAAAAAATTGTGGGCTATCCTGCCTTAT